AATGTCGAAAAAAGGTTAATATCGTAAAAACGATTTTTACAAATTTTTTAAAAATGTTTTTAATATACATGTCAGCCAAATGATAAATATATAAAAATATAAGCATATTAAATTTTTTTTAATATTATATATGATGCCATGGAAAATCGAGATGAAACAAATATTAACTAGTGTCTTACGTGCAATAGTCATTTAAACGTTCTGGAAATCTTACTCTTCTCCCAGAACGCGTTGTTTTAAGTTTATTTTCAGATACTGTCGAAGAATCATCGTGTGTGTTGGTTGTCGGATGAGGTATTATAATTGTCGGTGTCGTGTCGTTCGATTGTACCGAAGGAGAATCGACGTAGATAGGAATTCTTTCTAAATACGCTGCTTTGAGGCGATCGATGCTGATGCCATCGTTCGTTCCGTCCTCATCGATTATATATTACTTCCGTTCGCGTTGAAGAACTTTGAAAGGTCCTTCGTATGCTGATTTGGAAGGTCGTCGATGTGAGTTTCGACGTACGAAGATGTGTGTACTATGTCGTAAGTCAGGTTGAACGAAAACATCAGTTGATTGAGGTCGAGTGGAAACAGGTTTAACTTAACGCATTGCGTTTGTAAGCCTGTAGAATTATGGTCTTCTATGATATTAGTGCTGTGATAATAATAGACCTAATCCTAAAATTGTAGATTTGTCATGATATAACTGCCTAATTTATAAGATCTTACGTAGAAGTCACATCATCGTCTACACCAACTCATCGTATCGTAACAACTACCAATACATGATGAAGAACAAGTTTAAGCTAGAGAAGGAACAATATATTTGATATGGATAAAAGATATAAAGCAATATTTTGCAGGGACCACGCCTGCATGGCCGAGCCATGCCATACGATCAACCCCAATTCATTCAACTCATTTCTCCCGCCTTTTCCATCCTTAGGTATTTCTCCGCGTTAATTATTGAATATCTATTTTGCGAGTAGTCTCGTGGCCAGCTTTGAGTGTTGTGTGATTATGATCCAATGCCACTACAAGCCTGCTCGTGTAGGAGGTCAGATCCATGTTAATTGAAGAGGATGAAGGATCCACAAATTCTCCTGAAAGTCGAAGTGTCGTTCCACAAACGAGTTGAGCCGCAATGTATCCAATGTCAGCTTTCACTGCATTGCGAATACCTAGTAAGACGAGTGGAAGAGCGTCGGTGCACTGTGAAACGTTTGCAGCTGATAGTGAAGCTTTTAGTTGGCGGTGAAAGCGTTCTACCAACCCGTTTGCTTGTGGGTGGTAGGCGGTCGTTCGGAAGCGAGTGATTCCTAAAAGTGTGGTCAGACGACGGAAAAGATCAGATTCGAACTGACATCCGCGATCTGTAGAGATGGTTGAAGGGCAGCCGAAGTTTGATACCCATCGTTCGACGAAGGGGCGGGCCACTGTTTCAACAGTGATGTTCTTGATAGCTACTGCTTCTGGCCTTTGGCTTCTGGCCACTGAGTGAAACGGTCTACTAAGGTTAAGAGATAAGAGTATCCATTTGAATCCGGTAAAGGTCCTACCAAATCCAGATGAACATGGTCGAAACGAGCATCGGGAGTTTTAAATGAGCCTAAGGGACATTTATTGTGTCTGATGACCTTAGATTTTTAGCAGCTTACACAGGAGTGTGCCCACTCCCTCACGTCTTTATTCATGCCAGGCCAGCAAAACCGTTCTGCTATAAGCTTGATGGTTGCACGAACACCTGGATGAGAATGTTTGTGCAATGTGTTGAAGACATTGCGTTTCGGCGCGATTGGGCGATCCCTACCTGTAGATGTGTCACAAAGTAAGGTTTCCTTACCTGTTCCCATCTGTTTGATGCGTAGTTTAAGGGTTGTAGACGATAACTCGTGCTGAAGATCAGTCTCTTCTTTTTGAAGCTCGGCGAGTTTCAGAAGGTCGATTCATTGGCAACTGTTCAAGGAAGTTATGCGAGATAAGGCGTCTGCGACTACATTGTTTGCTCCAGAGATGTGTTGAATATCTGAAGTAGACTGCGAAATGTAGTCCAGTTGTCGAGACTCACGAGGTAAGTACTTGTCTGAAGTAGAGCTTAACGAGAAAGTAAGAGGTTTATGGTCAGTGAAAAGGGTGAATTCATGGCCTTCGATGTAGTGTTGAAAATGTCGTACAGCACAATACATAGCTAGGGGTTCCCTACCGAATGTGCTGAACCTCGATTCGGTGTCTAGCAACCGTCTAGAGAAAAATGCTAATGGTTGCCAGGAGTTGTTAACCCATTGTTGTAAGACTCTTCCGAGTGCCGAGTCGGATGCGTCTACTGCGATGCTAATGGGTGCTTGAGTGTCCTGATGTGCAAGCATTGTTGCTTTAGCGATCAGTTCCTTAACTGTGGAGAAGTCTTTTCGTGCAGTGTTGTCCAGATTGATGGATTTCGCATTTTCACGAAGTTGGTCGGTAAAAGGTTTCATAAGTAATGCCCATTTCGGTATGAAGCGTCTATAGAAACTTACCGGGCCGTTAAACCTGCGTAATTGCTTGACGTTGGTCGGATTTGGGTAATCCAGAATGGCAGCCACTTTGGCTCTAAGGGGTCGAATGCCTTGAGCATCGATAGTGTGTCCTAAAAAGTCTAATGAGTGGGTACCGATTTGTCATTTCTGGATGTTTACAGTAATGCCATGTTTTTGTAGTCGGTCGAAAACAAAATCCAGATGTTGGAGATGCGATTCTCTGTCCGGACTTGCGATTAGGCAGTCGTCAATATACGTTTGTACACAGAGGAGACCTCGAAAAACGTCGTCTATGAATCTTTGGAATGTTTGGGTAGCGTTTCTTAGACCGAAAGGCATTCGCGAAAATTCATAGAGTCCGAAGGGAGTAATGATAGCTGTTTTCGGTATGTCGTCAGTAGCCATAGGGATTAGGTTATACGCTTTAACCCAGTCGATTTTCGAAAAGACAGTTGTACCTTTCAAGGTAGCTGTCAAATCGTGAATGTGAGGCAACGGGTAACGATCGGGAATAGTTTTTGCATTCAATCGCCGATAGTCACCAGTTGGACGCCAATCGTTGCTACCTCAGCATTTCGGGGGCTAGTCAGCGTGCTTTAGAGAACACAGGTAGTCCTGTGGTCGTGATGTGATGTGTAAAGTTGCTGGTTACACACGGTAGTTTCGGTAGTGTTTGTTGTATCCCAGGATACTTATCGAGTAGTGGTTGATAAAGTGGGTCTATCTTATGATTAATTGTGACTGGGGATAATCTGCAACCAGAGAAGGGAGTTACGCAAACGGATAATTTAGTGTTTCCGTCTACTAGCTTCCGTTTGCGCGTATCGATGATTAGATTATGGTGTTGTAGAAGGTCCATACCAATGATTGGCATAGAAACGTCTGCAAAAACGAAGATCTATTGAGTGGGTTTGCGTAAACCCACGTTAAGGTAAACGTACCTTTTGCCATACGTAGCGATAGGTTTTCCGTTTGCCGCCTGTAAGTTTAAAGCCGATTCGTGAAGCCGGTCGTTGGGATTCGCTGGGAGAACGCTAACTTCTGCGCCAGTGTTGACGAGGTAGCGAACTCTCGTTGTCACATCTGTGACGTATAACAGACTGCTATGTTCGCCGGCTACGGTTGCCGTTAACGCGTGCCGGATTGGAAGTTTCCCGAGTTGTTTTTCGAGTCAGTCGGTTTCGTGTTGGCGAAATTGCAGGGTTTTCTGCGATTTCTGGAAAACTTTCCATACTGGTTATGATACCAGCACTAGTCGGGGTTATCTGTCTCTCGTGGTCTAGAGACGGATCGTTTATGTGAAATGCTTCTACGTGGGAGGCGCGAGAGATTACGGTCGTTACGAAGATTAAGATAACGTGTAAGTGTATGACATAACTCGGTTATGTCATTCTGAGTCGTTTGAGGCTTTTCTTTGACTGAAAATACCTCGGTAGTAGAAGATTTCGTAATTTCTAAGATACGATCGGCAGATGCAGCCAGCTCGTCTGAGGCGTTGTTCTGAAACGAGACCAGAACCGCTTGCACCTGTTGAGGAAGTTTAGACAAGAAAAGCTGTTTGAATAGGCCTTCGTCGAAAGTTCTTGCGCCTATAACCTCTCTCATCCTTTGCAACATGTCCGTCGCAGAACCGTGCTGCAGGTCTATGCTATTAAGGAGTTGGTCTAACCTTTGTCGATCGGTTCGGTCTCCTCGTTTAAGGATAGGACGATTTAAGGTTTCGTACGGGTCAGAAACATCACTAGTAAACATACTAGGTGTTACGTACCTGTTGAAACCCCGCGGCAGTGCTTTGACTACTGCGAGGAATTGTGCACGTGTGTCGTTCACACCGTGCTCGTGGAAGTCGGCTTCTGTGTGGTAGAACCAGGCTTCGATATTGTCGGGCCAGAAGGGCATGAGTTGGAACGAGGGTGGGGACGTGGTCTTAATCTTAAATATCTTGGAGGTTTGTTCAGTCATAGTGTAAAATTAAGTATGAGAATACACGAGTGAAAAATATATAGATATCCAAAAACGCGGGAAAAAATATCACAGTGTACGAAAAATTAAAATAAAGCAATGGTATATAGAATCCCAGAATGAAACAGACTCACAGTTACGATTTGGTGTACCAGATCACGTTAGGCTCACCAATGAAGATGGCACAGGTATTCGTAGTTTGACAACGCTTTAACCAGTAACACCTAATATGAATAGTACCCATCAAGTGAAATCAAGAAACAAAAGGGAGGAGGTTCGGAGATATAATTGATAGGTTAGCAATATATCGAGGATCGTCTGATCTAATCTGGCTAGTGATTGCAGGGGTTGCTGAGCACGGCGTTCCCACTCGTGATCTGGTGTGAATGCAAGCGTTTCTTGGAATCACTGAATCTGACCACACTATTATTGATATCTCTCAAGGAAATTTAAAAGAAGTTAAATACGTTAGACGCTGATAGGTTATGGAAGGAATGATACATTTGTCCTGCTCTGTTGATAGCGAGCGGTTTTATTTTCAAGGTCATCGCTCCTATACTTGGTGCACGACCCTAAATTCCTTCGAAATTCTGCGCGGTCGACAGTTATTTTGAAAAATGGATCTTACTCTGGACGATCTAGTTCAAGAGTCCGAGAAGTTACTTATGGACGTACAAGAAGATAATGATCTGCCGCATATCACTAGAAGCTTGGACCAAATGCGTCACTTAGGTGAAAAACTCTATTTGTCCAGAGGATCCAACAGTGATGTTAAAGCTGCTCGTCTTTTGGGGCCAAAAATGAGCTACGAACTGCCTCAAAATCTGACTACAAAGTTAGAAAATTTGGTTCCGACTGATGTATACGACATGTGTCCCGTTGTACCCAAGACTGATATCCAGTCATTCTTAAGATCAGAGAGAGATAATGCATTGCTAACCGCAATACTTATGACTCGAAAGTCGGTAGGTCATGCTGATCAATTTCCGTTGCTATGATATATTGTTTAGGTTGTTTGGTATATGCTAGTACTAGATGACTAATTGTATGTTCCCAGGCTAGAGTTTGCTAGTAATAGATTCACAGCTCTCACAAACTATTCGTGTTACAGCTTTCAATAAGGTGCTCCTTTGAAAAATCCCGTATCTTTATAGTTTCCCGGTTAAGGTCTACTTAATTGTTTAGTCTTAATCGTTTCTCAATATTATTCACATTCTGATTTCCTGTCTAGCAGGTAAGGTTCACCACTAAATATTAGGAACAAATATCCTTTTGTTTTAGTTATCCTAATTCCTACAGTTTCTCCAGGAGTTCAAAGTAAAGTATGAATCTTGTGAAATGTATCCAAATCAGTCTTCAGTAATTTGGATAGTAGGTGGGTGAACCTGTGTTAACCCAGTACACGAATGCTAGCATATTAAGATCGTCCCATATCCTCACAAACTTACTAATCTCGAGGACTAATATAGGTTACTTGACCTCCGATCCTTATCTCTGGAGACTATTGTCTATATTTAGTTTAAATCAGTAGATGGTGGCTCGTCGAAATTGTCTAAGATTAAAAATGACCTGTACCAATAGATTTTCTGTCAGTTCGATTAATAAGATGGGGGCAAAACTGGGTGATGGGATTTAACGTGACCATTGATTTCCACCTTAAGATATCTGGAAACCATTATTACTTACGATATATGGTAAGATTCAGATCTTTATTGTTGATCAATTTAAGAAACGATAACATAAAAAATACAGAAAATCTGCCATGAGTGTGTAAGCTAGGAGATAATACAGGCTGTATACTTCACTCTTACTTCCAAAATGTATCAGTGCATGTTGATTTGTGAGTAAATATTCAATATTAGAGTGTTTCCTTCGGTTGGTTCTTATTCTACCACGAGACCTCGTTTCCTTCTAACATCCCTCTACTGTCTTGTGGACTAAATCACTTGGTCAAAGGGAACCAATCGCTTCGATTTGGGTACCCAGGCAGTATTCTAACCCATGTACAGACCAAATGATGATTTCAACCACAATGGATTATCCTAACACTCATTTATTAATATTCGTTTTTATTTTACATTTCGTCACTCGTCTGTTCCCCTTTCATCCCCCTTTTGTGTATTCTCTTGTTCTAAACTCATACAACAACTCGCACATGGTGAAAATTCCGTCCTGTCTCACCAACCGTAAGTCACTGACTAATCGGTCAAAAGTTATATGCTACCAGACTTACTGAAATCACGTATGTCATTCAAACCGGTTTTCTTTAGTGTTTTCACACTAACACTGATCAAATAACAGACACATTTAGCTATGTCTTTAGGGAGTTTTAAGATTGTTGTTTGTAGTGTATCCGAGGTTCGTACTCAAGACTAGTGAGGTATTACGCATGCACTCCACCTGTCGCGCCACGAATGTTGAGGGTCAGATGACTTAACCTCTATCTTTTTTAAAGACAATGGTGACCTGGTTAAGGAACTAACTGAGTTGTTTACAAATGTTCAGTAATTACAAAGTGTTTTAAAATCGTTGAATAAGATGACAGTCATCCCTGTCTTTAAAGAAGATTTACGTGACCTAGGCAACAGATATTGGTGGATAGATCTACTTCTGATCGCGTCCAAACTAATGACTTCCGTCATACTCTGCAGATTGTTCAAAATCCTGATGATATTGCCTTACTGTGTGCTGATACCCAAGCTATCCAGTCCACACTTCGTCAGTTGCTACGTAGTTACGGCATTTGATTTGCACCTTCCAAGTGCAAAGTACTCTAGCAAAACTAACAGGACTTTATACCTACATTCACTCTTGGTAGTGAGCATTTAGAAGTAGTTGAGAAGTCCGTGTAACTGGGCGGTTGTGTAAGTGCTGGTGGTGGCATGAGTAATGAGACCAATTCATCTATAGTGAAAGCTAGAGTGGTTTATGCCAATCTAGGTCATATTTGGCGCCTTTGTTATGCTAGCCTGGCCGTAAGATTTCGGATTTACGTCGCGTTGGTGAGAGCAGTTTCGCTTTATGCTTGTGAAACCTAGCCTGTTCGAGTTGAAGATTTTAAGCGATTCTTTGTGTTTGATCATCGCTATCTCCGAAGGATTGCCGATATCCAGCGACAATAGCATGTTAATTGGTATTATCATTTAGAAACAGACTGGTGGCTTGGACACGTACTACGAATGCCGTTTTAGCGAAATTCACATCGCGAATTATTTGTCGATACTAGGACTGGTTGAAAAAGGCGGAGAAGTGGTCAGTGTTTTTATTTATTTAAACACATAAACATAGGCATAAGGAGGCACCAAATAGATATGCACCACACAAATAATTCTTAGGGGGCCACGCCCGGAGCCTTCGACCTAAAGGTATGATCCAAAAGGCAGTGGAGCCATGTCTGGAGATGCAGTCCCATGGTTGCCGGTGATCAACAGTTGGTTCATACGCCAACTGTTTCCTCAGGATCCTGGAGCCCATGTGCACCATTGGTTTAGAATGAGGGTTTTCCAACTCACATAGGTGGATCCTCCGTATCCACCAACCTGGTTAAAGCGCCGGACATTCGCTGTTCATCCTCTCAATTTCGTAACCAATACCCTCGCCACAAGAAGGCAGTGAGTAGGACTATCCTGGCAGCGGTTGTATGTACGTGGTCATGTAAAAACATTTAGAGAGGGAGAGCTGACTCTCCCCACTCTCGGCCGTACCAAGGGCCTCTCAGTGTATGTCATGGTGTCGTCCTGGTACAAAAGAAAGCTGTGCAGGGCTGGTATCTGTTTGTTCTTCGCGACTCCCTGGTTAGGGTCCTGGCGATAATGCCACACAGTGAAGATCCTTCGGTTTTTTACTCTTTTCACCTAACTGAGAGGAAGCTAACTAACTGTAGGAATCCTTTCTGATAGTATTTCTCTTAACTGAACTGCTTCTCCCATTATTATTATTATTATTATTATTATTATTATTATTATTATTATTATTATTAATTCTCATTCATTTTTTAGACATCATACCCTCCTTTCTCTGTTTTATTACAATCTCATCTTATTACGTATCGCATATACATTTTTGTGCCCCTTCGTACCAATATTTCTGTTCAACTAAATAAGTAAACTTTGTACTCTTATGTATGAAAATGTTTTGCCTTTTTTATGGTATATGAGCCATTTTAAAAATCAGTTAACGGTTATGCGATGATGATACGACTCCTTATTTCAGATGTTTGAAGAAGTTGAGGAGCGGTGTGATGCCTATTTACAAACCTGGTGGGAACAAGAAGCTGCTGGAGTGTTAAGTGGTCTATCGGGTTCAAATGGGCCTCTGGATACAGAACTCACCTCCTTACCTGATTTAGAAAGTTATGGTCATTCCGAATCGGGGAGTGGAATACAAACTATGCAGTTAACACGGGATGAACTGCTTTATGCAAATCAAGTGGGTTTGTTTAGACTACTTTTATTCAATTTTTTTTGCTTCGTTACTCGATTTCCATGTGTTTCTACATCTGACAGTTTTAAAAAAACTACATAGGTATTGTTAGACGATCCTTGGAATTTTGGTTCTAATTTTATTAATATTGAGCTTCTGAAGTGTATATGTAAAGCTTCTTATGAAATTAATTAGTTCAATACGAGCTCATTATAAACCAAGTTCTTGATAGCACAACTAGATCTACTCTTTTTATATTGAAGCAAGGCTAACAAATTCTTTCAAACTAGGATTCACTGATTTTTGAAGCAAAACGCGTATAAAAGATATGCTAATCAATAATGGCAAGGTAAATGTGTTCATTATAACCACTTTAACAACTGACTTGAGTTTTGTCGCACCGATATCCTTAAAGTAATATGATAATTATTATCGTTTGTTTCTTGTAATTACTCGGTTATGTAGTTATTCTCTAATACTATAGCTAGATACAATATCCGGACGTTATCTACTTTTTATAAAGAATTATCTCATAACCCATTGTTAATTAATATGGCTATTTCTGTTCATGGGATACCTTAAAAACAAATAAGGACTGGGGTTTGTCCGAATTGTATCTAGTAAGGACGTATTCCGTAGTGTATCACTTTATTCACATCTTTTATAACCATTTATTAGGACAGAGTACAGGCGACTGTTAAGATTCAGTGAAATTATGTGCATTCGACTATAGAACTCCTTGCTATTCCTACAGCTGAAAGTTATTATACCTCGAAACATTAGTAGCATTAAGTGCACCAGTTCACCTTATCGATTAACCGTAACCAAGTAAATAATCACAGGTCTTATATGACTATCTTACGGATGCAGCATGATCGAAGTTACTAGCATTTTAGTTTGAGTCTTCTTGTACGAATCGATTCATCGTTCGAACGTCAGCAACGTAGTTTCAGAGATAAGGAATGCTATCCCAAAGGCTAAACTCGTTGGTAATTGTCGCAAAGTAAGGATTATTCGAAGAGACTGCAAGCGATATTGGTGATAGATTAACAATATAAATAAGAGATATACTCGTACTCAGGAGGGAGTGTCTATTTTAGGACCATGTGAGTAAGTGGTACTCTCAATTTATCCACATTTAAATAATACGCAATGCTCCTATGAAATTTTGTCAGTTCATTTTTGTGTTATCCATTTATTTTCTTCTATTTTTACGTGGAATCTTTGGGTAATGATAAATATATTGGTATTTTTTCCATTAACTTACAGTTGGATTACTACCTTACCATGCGTCTCACATCTACCGATTTCACACCTATCCAAAATGGAGTTCCTCGTGACTTACTAACATATATGTCACGAACTCAAGATTCAGTTTCTCGCGAAAAACAGTTAAAAACGCAGCTGAAAAATCCTCATTCTGATATCACGGAAATATGGAACATTATGAAGACAATTTCTCATCATATGCGTAATGAGCATAGTAGTATGTTATCATATGACCATCCATTGGAAGTTCGAGCGTCTGCATCTATACAAAATACTTTATCGCTATGTTCTTTAGAACATTTGGAGTCTGAGTTTCTAGAGTTTCTAAAAATAACGATTGCTAACCAGCCTCGATTAGCTCGACTTGGTGGACGTCCAGGGACCCGATCATTAGTGCGTGCATATCTGAGTCTTCGTCTGCCATCCGACAACGTAGCAGATGTCCCTTCTTTGAGTAACCTCTATCAATTATCCGAACAAAACGGTTGGGAATTTGATGTATGTCAGTATTTCAATGCACTTTGTAGTTTATGTGTTTAATTGTCTAATGGTTTGTTATTCATGACACCTTGAAGTTATATGTCATCTGACTCGATAAAAAATTTAGTTTCATTGTTGATTTAATTTAATAAGCTGGTCTTTGGACTTGACTATTTTTGACTCAAAAGTCAAACTTCTAAGTCATTTGACTCAGGACTCTCTCAAACATGAACCATTCAGAAGCTGGTCAGTTAGTCAGTCAGTAACAAGGTAGAACTTCGTACGTACATACATCAGTTCGAGTTGCCATACCACATTAGCACAGAGATGCAGTTGTCTATTCAAATCCCGTAGTGGTAGAAGTAGTAAGAGTATAAGCAGTAATCGGGAAGATTAGGGTTTGGAGATGTTATTCAAGGAGTATAATCCAGTGAAATAAATTTGGAAAGAAAAAAAGGGGACATGAAGAATACAGAAGACTAGAATTTGGGAGAACACAAAGAGTGGATGCACCTGCGCCATTGCAAACGATTTTGAGCCATGTCATTCAGGATCTCTAACCATCGGTTGCTATCATCTCGCGGTCCCCAACCAGGTAGTCTACACCTACCGACATTGCTCAGTTTACTTGTCAATGACTTCATGGACTTGTGCCATGTTTTGGTCTGGCCACCCCTAGCTTTCTTCCAACCTACTCCTACACCGTAAAACATTGCACGTCGAGGCAGTCGGTGGTTGGGCATACGTAACACATGTCCCAGCCATCTCGACTGATGAAGTTTCACCACTTCATCAATTGATTTGCCATCCTTACCTAGTACCCGTTTCCTAACAACTGCGTTACTTACTCGATGATCCCAGGATATACGAGCAATGTTTCGAAGACACTTATGGTCGAATACTAGTAACCTACGAATATCCTCTACTTTTACCGGCCACGTTTCACTGCCATAAAGTAGAACGGAACGAACTGCTGCGCAGTAAACACGTCGTTTGGTTGATAGACGGATATCTCGCCTACGCCATAAATGACGCAAGTTGGCAAAAGCTAGTCGAGCCTTCTGTATCCGTGCTGAGATTTCGTCACACACCAGACCACAAGGGTTGATGAGACTTCCAAGATAAGTGAAGCGATCGACACACTCAATTACTTCACTCCCTATCACTAGTTCGGGTGTCAATGCAACCCAGTCCTGAAGCAACATTTTGCATATTCTAAGCCAACAAGTGAACCTCCCGGTACAAATCTAGACGAGGAAAGTGTTATCTCTAAAAGTACGTCGACAACAAAGTTAAGCAAGAATGGAGAGAGTGGGCAGCCCTGAAGAACACCACTTAAGGTAATCAATTCTGATGACAGTTTGCCATAAGCTCTCACTCTACCAGTTGTGTTCGAGTAGAGAGCCTGTATAAGGTTAATGTACTTCTTTGGTACTTCTTTCAGTGACAAACACTGCCATAGAACCTCACGATCAACAGAGTCGAATGCTTCCTTATGGTCGAGAAATACTACCATTGTGGGGCGTCTGAATGTGTGTCTGTTCTAGAGCCTGACGTAGTGTGAATATATGGTCTATACAACCACGTCCAGGTTGAAAACCAGCCTGGTTTTCTCTAGTCTGCTCTTCATGATCATAGACAGTTCAGTTCAGTATATGACATGGTGTCGTGGCATGAAAGAAAGCTGCAAAGGACTGGCTTGTGTCGGTCCTTCACGACTCCCTGGTTGAGGTCTGAGAGATGGTGCTACACAGTGGCTAGAAATGTTATCAGATATGGCTCAGAATAGAAGCCAGTGGCGATCCTGCTGTAACCTTCTTTTACTTTCTTCATAAAAAAAGTGGTTGTATCTTCTTTGACTGAAAGATTTCTGATTGTACCCTTCTGTTCCCCTACTATTGCTATTATTATTATTATTACACTACCTTACACCAATCTCTTCGTTATTGTTTATTATCATTATTTATTTTTCGTTCCTCACTTTCTTTCTTCTTAGATTCTCATTGTTTTGTGTGGCGCGTAAATATTCGGCGCACTCCTGTACCAATATATATGTGTTCAAATAAATAAATAAATAAATAATAGTCTGCTCTTCACGAGCTTTAGTTAGGCGTCGAAGTATTATTGAAGCTAATATTTTAGACACTATATTAGTCAAACTGATTCGTCTGTGATCGTCACAAGAGGACTTTTGTCCTTTCTTATAGACTGGCGCAATCAGTGATTGAGACCAGTCAGATGGGATTACGTCTAGTTCCCAGATTCTACCTAAGACCTCGGTTAATCTCACTGACAATACTGGACTACCATCCTTAAAAATCTCAAGGGTAAACTTGTCAGGGCCTGCTGCTCTCCCTCGCTTCAGATTTCCTATCTCTTTTTCAACTTTGCAAAGTGTCGGAGGACCTACATTAACTTGCCATTCAGGTTGACTACCGATCGTGGGAAACCGAAGTGTGGCTGAAGGCCAGTTGAACTGATCCCTAAAGTGTTCTACCCATCAATCCAATCTCCTGCATTGAGAATGTATAATATGTTCATCTTTCTCTGAGATTGTTTCGCTAACAGTCGGTCTCCTTAATAAGTCTGAACAATTGTCTGCTATTATCTATTGCCGCTGCCTTTTCCATCTCTCTTGCTTTCGCTACTCACCACTGTTCGCGATCATTGCGTAGACTTCTTGTCAGCTTGCGCTTAAGCTGACTCCGCTCTTCGTTATGTTCAGATCCAGATGGAAGGAGTTTTCGAGCATCTATCAGTGCGGTAGATGCTGCTGAGATCCAGTGTTTCTCCCTAACCTTATGGTTTACCATACTAGCAGATATCACCGCTGTTTCCACAACTTTTCGGATATCATCCCATGCTGCCTCGGGGTGGGCATCACCTACATGGCTACCTAACTGTTTTCCTAGTTGTTCCTGAAATATACTCTTAGTTTGACTATCATTAAACAGGACCCTAAGAGTTTTCCTTGCAGCGCCTTTCCTACGTCCAGTAAGACGCAGACAGATACGCGCTCGTACTAGAGCGTGATCTGAATCTAAGCATGTGCTCCAGAATGAGCGACAGTCTTCTATCGAGCCCCTCCATCGGTGGCTGATAGCAATGTGATCTATTTGGGTCCAACGTTGGAACGAATTAGGTGGTCGCCATGTTAAAAGATGTTTTCCTTATGCTTAAAGTTAGTATTTGCAAGAAACAGGCGGTTATCTGAGCATAGCTGCAACAGACGGTCGCCATTATCTGTTCTTTGAGCCACGACACCATAAGATCCACCTAGGTGTCTTTCCCTATCGCTTAGTTTACCTACTTGAGCATTAAAGTCACCTGCCACTATTACTACATCAGAGCGCCTAGCTTTTCGGAGAAGGTCGGAAAGCTTTCTGTAAAACTCATCTTTTACATCATCTGAGCTGCTAGTCAGTGGGAGAATAGACAGAGACGACGAAGAGGCAACGACGAGTGTCCTTATCTTTCCGGGTCCTTATTGTTCCGTTTAGTCGGACAGCGCACAAACGACTGTCTGCTGGGATCCAGTCTAAGAGCTAGTCCTGCTGTGCCTACGCCGGCAAGTCCATGAGAAGCAGCATCTGGGCTTCCAGATACACGAAGTGTGAATCGAGTTGGTTCTTTATTTTGACATGGTGATGTCAAATTAATGACGCTACTCGGATCCTGTATGCGCGTTTCGGAGACGCAGCACACATCGATGGCGCGAAATTCTAAAGTCCTAGCTAAGGAAGCCTGTTGTCCTATTTGGCACAGTGTTCGTACGTTAAAAGCTCCTATATGTAGTTTAGCGCGTGGTTTGAGGAGACCAGGAATAACGTTCCGCGTACTCGAATCGTTTGCCCTAGCGGTGCGAGGTGAAAAAAGGACGTGAGAAGGGATAGTCGGGGAGGCAAGAGTGGTATTAGGAGGTGTAGGAAAGATTTGGATGTGACCAACCTTGTCTCGTGTACTGTTACTGGTGTGAGGGCTGGTGTCACTTCCCGGCTGCCCACACCGTGGAAGGGTATTTCTTGAGGAACCTGGAAAGAAATTCGGGTTAATGTCGGCCTTAACGGCCTGGGGACGTGACCGCAGATCCCAGGGGACAACTGCTTGAGGCCGGTCGCGCACGGCCTTTTTGTGGGAGTTTTTGACGTGTTAGCTCCGTTCTTCAAAGGGCCTTACCGCCGGAGACGGAAATCCGTGAGGTAAGGTTGAGGTGTGACATTCTTATGGTCGACATTTTCTAACCCCTTCCTTCCTTGTGAGAAGGCAGCATCGCTGTAGATGCTGGTTGTCCGAGGGAAACACCTTACTGCTGTCACACCCCTCTACAGTCAGCAGTACGACTTCGCCCTCAGACTTTGAGCTGCTGCTTTTGGTCTTACCGTTCTCCAATCGACCTGCCTGGCATGGTAGAACCTACAGGAACATATGTTCCAGCCAATATAGCTCGGTTGGGTCATCACGATAGGCAAGTTTGACCACCGCGTCAAGGTAGCAGCTACGGTCGGGTCAGAAGCTGGTTCTCACCTGACGAATTTTACGTTAAACTAATAATGGTTATTGAAAATTTGACTTAAAAGCTTATGTCAACAAGGTCTTTTAATTTAAATGGTGGGTTCTCTGTTTAAAATTCGAGCAGATAAAGCTAATATTGACAAACCAATACGCACGTTTAAAGGTCATCAACTCGCTCACAATTTCCAAGTTATATTGACAAAACAATTCCTCTAGTCTCTCCTCTTCTTTTAGGATGGTCTTGTAGATGGTGTTCCTGTGTGGCCAATGATTTTTTACTGCCTTCGTACGGGAGATACCGAAGTTACTTTGGAAGTTGCTCGTGATGCCTTGTAAGTTACTTATTACAGATTAATATGACCTGCGTTATTTATTAGCATATTAATAAGGTACTTGAAGTGATTTATCGCTTTCGTTAGATCACGAAGTATATATATTTATATGTGTGAACAGTTTTTATATGTATGGATTTATTTCTGGGTCATTTACTTTAAGTAGTTTTGTGATATACGACAATTTTTTATTACTTCCTCATTAAAATCGAACTCTGTAAGACTGCCATAGTAAGTCATAAAGAGTTCGTATAGTTGCGTTTAGTTTAGTTCTTGGAATATCGAAAGAGCATATGGTACATCATAAAAGCTTCGAATCTGATTTCCTAATCAAGTTTGTTATCACATGGTACTTAAGAGTTGTACTTTGATCTGTTTTTCGTCAAAAAATAATTTTAGTTTTTATAGTTTCTATTCTTAAAAGTGTAATCTGGGCTTTGTTTTTCTGAGTTATTCTAGTAGTACATCCATTCTTATTTCAATCGTGCTGAATAACTAAATTTAGTCTAACTGTCATTAGTCCAACTTTTCACTTCATATGCAATTTTTTCAACTAAGTAATATTTCGCGATTATTCTCGATCCTATTGATCAGTGACACTTGAAATGAAAACTAGCCTATGATTTGACTCAAATGGAATTCATGCTGTTTTGGGTTGCTCTCATAAATTCTAGGTTTATCTCCTTGTAATTTTCTTGGTTTGTTCTAGTAAACTTAATCATCGATGCGATAAAACGCTGTGTAAGATTGATCTCCTTATTTCCTTTGTTACTGCATTAATTTGAACTCCTTGCATTTTCAATCGCAAATACTTATACTGTAAAATCCCGAACTTTATCAAAGGTTGTAGCGTATTTACTACTAATATATGTCACTTGCCTGATATAAGTTAATTTGATCTTTTTCAAACCATGTAATTTTCTTGAGGACGAGTGATACTACCTAACTGCCTAAATCCAAGGAGATGCAACAGGGTTCGCATTCACAACGTAATTCTAAAAAGCCGAGTCATATAATCACTAAACAACCACTCCATTGTACTAGTGGTCAACATTTACAGTCACTACAAGGGATAAGTCTACCGTCGGTTATTCAATTTACCTACTTGTGAAGCCTTTTTACATTTCTGTAAATAAAATATCTATGCATTCATTTTTCTCAGAAATGTGATTTATAGAAATAAATTTTTAAAAACATGAGGGGAACATTGCTTATAAAACACGGAAGTTTGATATGCGAACGCATTTTGCCAGTCCATTGCAATTTATCTGGTGTTACTTCAAAATGGGTCTATTGAGGTGAAGGATTCGCAGTACTAATAAACCGCTTCATTCCCTACCACAATTTTATTCTCAAGTTACCAGGTCATGAGTCCTAGGGTTTTAGAACATGAAAACTAATAACCAAATATATTATGACACTGTTTTTAATATTCATATTGGTTATCATAAAATATTTCTCTTTTCTCCATATTATTCTCAGAAACAACTTAGGAAACTTTGTAACGGTGCTAGAGGATTATGTAAAACATAACCGCCGTCTCAGAACTCCCAACCAAGCAAGATTTCGTCAGACATGCAAACAAGTGATCAAGTCTACTCGTGATCCATATAAACGGTTAGTAGCTAAATATCATGTTGTATTGTCCTTCTATTGGAGATGTTATAAATTCAGATTCCTTTTTCATCTTTTCAAAACCTCGGGGAAACTCATTGTTCATCTATACCCACAGTCAAATACTCTGTCTCCTTCGTTTTTTAGCACGTTAATTAATCACTCAATTTTCAAGGCCATCGTAAATAGATTTGTACATTAACTAACATTGTTCGTTTAAATAATTCTTTGGAAGATTGCCATTTTGTATGGAGTAAAGTTGAATTGTTGTATTTATTCTGACCACTGATTGGAGTGTTTCGCAATTTCCTTTATAAGTTAATAATGTTTCCATGTTTAATATAATTTTCTATTGTTACTGTAGTATTTGCTTAATTTTTTAACGTCCATATAGTAATATAATAAAAAGTCACATTTCATGAGAAACAAATACTCGCTCTAAGCAATACTGTATTCAACCATTTGAATCACAAAATTACTCATCACGTCGAAAATCAACCACAGGCTTCGCTAAGATAAAGTTAAGTAATTAATTAAGTTTTGGGCACATATATATGTTACATTGAAAACAAACGGAGACTATAAACTGAGTTGTAATAATACCTGGTTGTCTTGGCATCAGATTTACTTTTAGATCATAATGAGAACTTCCATCGAACGTATACAGTAGAACAAGCCACTATTTAAGAAAGTTTAAATAGGTTATTCTAGAATGTAGGATAAAGTTGTATGAGAAAAATGGTACTATTTTCCTATTCACGTTCATTTTTTATGTATATTCCGCTGCTTTTCCTATTTCGCTCCTGCAATTATAGATGTTTAGTTGTTTGTTTTCACTACAATTTTTTGTATTTTAGACTAACATATTCTATTCTTGGCCAATGTGACCTCACTGAAAATCATTCAGACATTATTTCAAATATAGATGACTTTCTATGGATAAAGATATCTCAAGTTATTGCTCAAGAGCCCTCAGAATCAGTGGTTGCATCAAAAAATAGTATGGATGATACTTTTACTTTAGGTCAATTGCAAACTTTACTATACGAAACCTATGGTATGAATATTTTTGTTAATTATTGTATTGTTATGTTGTATATGATTTCCACATTCTTATAGTAGATTAATTTAAATTAATGCCAAGCTTGTTGCTTGAGAAGTCACCCCATGACTTACGTTTAGTGTATAATGACTCCTGTCTTCATTGATACCCATGCTTGCAGTAATTATTTGCCAACGCTTCTATCTGTCTAGCAAATTTCTAGAATATATGTACACATCACACGTCTTTGATTATAGGGTTAAATAACTTTTTACCTGTCTGTTCCATCTTAAATCATAATATTTAATCTGATCACAATTAGTTGTAGCACGATGAAGTTATATTGTTGTTCAATGCCCTGTTTTGTTTTATTTTAAACTTGTGTTTTGATTTACATACTACAAGTACATTCATCAAAGCAGCCTTCTTACCAGTATTTTGAGATTCCCCTACCCTCTCATTCTGACCGATCAAATATTATTGAATTATTTCATAAGAGACTAATATGAAAAAGTCCACAGTTATAATAACATGTTATGTAATTTGCAAGGCTTCCCGTCTTGTATAATGCGCAACTGAAAGAATTAACGGTGGTTTGCTTGTGCAAGAAATAAACTTGTAGTTTATTAACTTTGAACGGTCAGTTACAGTATTGTTTGCAAAAGTACTGAGTAAATGAAAGTCAAGGCCTCAAGAATTGTCACTTGCTTTGTATCTTGACTAAACTAAGATTAGTCTAGTTCATCTGCACTATATTACAGGCTGTTCTTCAGAGCTTTCATTCCATACAAGACATCCTCAAAAAATCGTTTTTATAGTCTCAAAAAGTTCCCATTTCCTTTTTTTCTAGGTGAGGTGCACTTTGACGCATGGTCTCAACCACTGGTGTTTTTTAAAATACTTTGTCTTACTCAACAGTATGAAGCTGCTATTGGATTTCTCGCTCGATTTGAACAACTACGATGTCATGCTGTTCATATTGCTTTAGTTCTGAGAGACTTACATATGCTTTTACTTCCCAACTGGCTCCACGCGCCACTTGGTAAGTCGCATTAATTTCTGTTTATTTTTCTATCACAAACTATATACTATTCTATACTAACCGATTTAGTTTATTGTGATAATCGAGCCAATGTTGAATGAGGTTCAGTTTTATCTTTTTTTCTCAATGCATATATTCCTAAAACCACTTAGCTCTCACTCAAACCATGTTTGTTTCAACAAATAAAGTGGGAAGTATAACTTTCAAATACAACTGAATATAAAGTTTTCATAAAGATAGTTTTCTGAATTTTTTCCCTATTGAGATTGTGAATTAGTTTTTATTTAAATTTGCCATCTAATAGGCTTATACATTAGTCTCTATAACGTGGGTTTGTTAGTGTATTATAATGATAGTCTTAGTAAACCGCCTAGTACGAATATAGTTTAAGTCAATTTTTCTACACCATAATTAGTTTTTTAGGAGCTTTTAGCTTGCTCTAAAATTTATTTTTACGGACTGAATTGTTGATTAATGTTCCCTAACATTATTTCTACCTTAACTGTTTTTTTACTTATAAGAAAGGCAGTATATCAAGAATTTTCATCTTTCAGCTCAGTAGTTAATAAGTTTTCATTCTGTACTTTTTTATTATACCAAGTGGTTCGTAATGATTACGATCCTACAGGGTTTCGCAGGCTTAATTTGGCTCGTTTAATTATGTTGTATACGCGGAAATTTGAATTCACTGATCCAGAAAAAGCCCTTATGTATTATTACATGCTTTCTGACATCCCAATTACTACTGAAAAGTCACCTGAAGAAGATTCTAATGCAACTATTCCAAGTGGTCTATACAATACGTCTCTCGAACATTTGACTGCTAAAGGTCAAAATTTGTTCGTCCAATGTGTTTGTGAATTGGCTTTAGCAAACAAGGAGGTAGGTTTTTCGAAACTGTTTTTTTAAATAGTCCTATTGCTAAATAATATACATAGTTTACAGGGATCTGTATCGTGCAATACTATCTAGTATAAACTGATAGTTGGATCACGATTCCTAACCTATTAAGTTCCAAGATTCTAAATGTATTTTGACAAATTGCCTAGTGAAAAAAGATACATGTTCATTCCTCGAACTTATTCGATAGCTTATCAACGGCTTAGTGGTCTAAGCACTAAAATTTTAATCAAACTTTTACTCCGCTCCACATTGTTCCGAGCAGGCGGGTAATATTGCCATCTTTTTCACACCAGTTGTGACTCACAGACGAGTTCATGAATGTGTACCTAGTTACCACGTTTCATTACTTAATTGTCTGGTCATAATCTATCTTGTCTAAACTATAAGTATTAGTATATTCGACTGTTGATCTGTTTCTTCTATACATGTAATGCAAAATGGAAATATTCTTCTACTACCTTTGCAATGATTAACGAGTTTCTGTAGTCAATTTATTTAGTCGGTTGTATGTTACACTTATGAAGTAAATCCATCTGCTTGAACTCACTTTTCTATCGCTAAAAATTATCTCAGGTTGTTAAGTCACGACGCTGTGTATTAAGTTATATCGCCAATACATGTTGCAAGTAGAAATCTCAGGTATGGTTCTCTAGATGTGAGGAAAAACATTTATTCAATTGCCACAATTGGCTATCATATAGACGTATGCTGTTACAGTTTTTCACTTTCAAAATAACATTCCGTTACATGGAGATTTGTTTTTTTTTAAATAATAGAAATGAGTGTACATTTTTATCAGTTATGCTCATTGTTATTCTGTTCGCTGATGTAATGATTTTCGTCCATACGTTACTATCACTATAAAACTTATCTACAGTATTTTTTAACTTCTTAATTAAGCTTCTTATTACCAATCGGCATTGCATATAGTTCAGCACATTGTATTCCAACAATTGTTCACTGTGTCCTGAACTGTCTTATTTTATTGTAAACTTATTATGGTTACTGTCTTTGTCAGCTTTAAATTCACAACGAACACCGTTATGTATTGTTACTAATATTTTTTCTTTTTTTAAAAGTTAAATCGAATTTCTTGAAGTGTACTAAAATTATACACGCAGATTGTGACTTCAAAAATCTAAAACTTAGTTGGGAGGTACTCAACACTTTTTTTACACCGAGATAATGTACTGTTTCAGATTTCCAGTTTTTATGGATAATCACGAATTCATTCTATCTAAAATCATATTAGTTCGTGCTGCAGTTTATATACTAAATTGAGTGCTTTTTGAAAATCCACTTAACGATATTCACCTGCATTACATGGTCGTAACCAGTGTACTTTCATTTTACTGTTTACAGTTAGATTTACTCTTGGGATGTGTTGGTGAAAACGATATTCGCAAAGTAAGTTATAATTTACCTGAGATCCTGTGTATGTTTTGTAGAACCTGTCACTTTTTGATGGCTAACCTATTGAGACTAGATCACGTTGTAAATAACTAACCTCTTTTTTTGATATATTCTATTGGAGTGATAGTATTCTGGCTGTAACAAGCTGTAATACTGTTGGGAAATGCAATATGTCTTCAAAAAGAGATAAAAATCAGTTAGAAAAATTAAAACTTCGAGTCGTCATCTTGAATTCGCGTAGCGCTCCGAAACTCACATTCTCATAAATGCGCACATGTTCTTCGCCATGCCATCAGTCGTATTTACCATAAGACATGCTTTTTATTGTCTTCACCTGTCGACGTCTGGGCCGGATAGTTAATGAGGACGTAGTGCGAGTTTGGTTTCGACCTATTTCGCAGCACTGAGAACACTTTTTTAAATTGTGTGGTCGAGGAATTATGTATCATTTACAAGTTTAGTGTTGAATAACGGGAACAAACGTGTTTTCTGACATGTCCAAGCACATTTGTCTAACTTAAGAAAGTTGTAATTTATATCATAGATGTATAATGCACATAAAAAGTAAAATTAGTACATTTAACTGTTCATCAGGGATGTTAAAATATTCGACGTCAAGTCGCATGTTTAAAATACAATTGAGAGATTGGTGAGTATTTTTGTTCCGTTTATATTATAATACCTAATCCTATATTATCTTCCAAAGATCTACGCGTCCCAATATCGATGGTATAGCTACTGGGTTCTGCAGGTGCCTGAGTATAGTCCACCTTCTAGATAATTTCAGATTCCATCTTACAACTGATATTTCGTTTAATTAATATGCTTTTCTTACATCAACATATAAATGCTTACAAATATCGGTTCTTTTAGCCTGGTGCTATCGACCGCTTTTGCAGGTCTGTAGAATCCCGTCGAGAGTTGATCCGTACTGTTGCTGATGTTTTTGAGTCCACTGGTCAAGTAGTTGAAGCTATTCATTTATATTTACTAGCTTCTTCCTGTGGAGATCCTAAACCTGACGTTCTAGTTTCTGTTACTTTGATAAATACTGTACTATCAAGTGTCATAGTAACATCTGATCTTGGGTCAACACCAATTACACAATCCCGATCCGGAGGACAATTGGATCGTAGTTCACTTCTGAGACTTGCGACAGAGGTAAGACAGAATTCCATCAAACATTATTTTCTGCATTTTTGTATGCTTGCTCTCACTATCGTATTTCGTACATGTTATGATAATTATTTTACTACAATCTGTCCACCATGATGGACCTTAATGTTCATCGTGCTTGAAGGCTTGAGGATGAAGAAATACATTAATTGTTCTTAATAATTATTGTCGATTAGTATAAATTATCGTCACAAACTCTTCTTTGGCGCGCATCCAAACTTAATATTCAAGAGTAATTATATGTTCGTCTTCAACAATTAGTATTTTCGATAATTTCAGCATCGCGATATACCTAGTGCATGAAGATCAAGATCTCGACAGGGGAAAACAGTAATTATTACAGTCTGTTTGGGAAAAAGGTTATCTTTATAGTTAAATAAGTACAAGTTAAACGAATATAAAATCGGTAAACAAAGTGTAATGAATGTTTTCATAATGAAGCCTCATAAGAGCTCGGAAATATATTCTACTTATTTAACAAGTGTTAATGAATGCATCCAAGGTTAATAGTTTGTATTACTCTGGACATGTGCGCAGTGTTGAAGATAGCAGATTGCTTAAAATATACATATATTTTCACAAATTATTTCTCTTTTTTGACTGAATCATACTAAAGTAGTGATCATGTTCAAAAAGTGTCCATATGCTCCTGTGAATAGTTTTTATAAAATATAGGAATGTAATGTTCAAGTTAAAGTAAGTGTATCAATTCATATTTACGACCTAAACAGTATAATTATTTCAACTGTTTTCTTGCTAAACAGATTGCTCATAAAGTCCGCCGACTAGGCTTATCATCAGATGATAGTAATCATCTCATCCAAAATGACATTGAAACAAGTGTGACTGAATCTACCTCGGCTATAAAAATATTATTTTACCTCCTCGATTTGGCCGCGTTCTTCGACTTAGTTGATGCAGAAAGATGGCAAGCAGCTATTGACCACATAGATCAACTGGGTTTATTCCCAATTAATTCGCAAGCTTCCAATGTAGAATTTTGTGCGATGCTGTTCTCGCAACTCCCAGATCTTGTACGCCGCCCTCTGCCGTGGGCATTATATGCTTTAATGCGTTGCTTATCAGCGAAGTGTGGTCGAGTTTCATCTGTCACAAGGTCAGTTCCGTGATAAATCAAATAGATGTTGAAACTACTTTTTATTAACTGGATAAAAATGTTTAATGTTCGTACCCACTTGGCTTATTGAAACATTTTTAGTAATGGAACGCGAGCGGACAGCACTTCTAAAATGGCTACTTCTGAAATTCGCTCCAGAGCAAAGGCCTTGATAGCATATGTTGGTCGTATTCCGCACAGACTACCAAGTGAAATTTATGCTGGACTTACTAGGATGGATATGGAGATAATATAATCTGCTACTGAAATGCTTTCGAACAATCAACTATTAGTGTTGTGTACATTATCAATACTTTCTGTGTACCTTTTCTACAATAAATTAACGAGTAAGGTTGCTATCGTTGATTTTAGACTATCTCTACTGTTACTGTAATGATTTCACCCCCGAATCCACATTCTGAATGATGATCGCAGTAAATTAGGACACTATCACAATACAAACTTTCAGCATAACCAAAATTGTATTATTACATCGGAAACGTAAAAAAATTTACAAAATATAGATTCTCATTACAATTTTATTACAAATCAATAGTACAAATCTCATATTAACACCTGTATCACACCTGCCGTTGCATTTTTTATTAAATACATGCAAAAGTTAGAAAACAGGAAAATTGCATACTTGATGAGATAACTGGGCAATAACAACATACGGACATAGACTTGGGAGAAAAATAACATTAAAGAGCTTGCAAAGGAATCAGTTTGTAAGTTTATTTACAAAAGACTTAAATAAAAATTAATAATTTCCATATTTAAACCGCAAGCTAGTTGTCGAGTATCCGACATAACCACTTTCATGTAGGGCAGGACGATAAAATATGCGGTGCTAACATCTGTCTTAGACTTGACCACTATGATAGGGAAATTAACTATAAAGCAACATGTGGATAAAAATCCAAAATAGCAACTTGAATAAAGGAACCCTCTAAAAATATACAATTACAGATATTATTGACGGAAGCAATACTTTTGAGTTGTTAGCGGCGCGCTGGAATAACTGCAGTAGTATTAATGGGAGGAGCAGATTGCGAAAAAGCATTGTCCACATAATTTGTATGGTGAGATACATTGCTGAAATTCTGAGGATGCGTTACAGGTCGAGAACGCATGCTACTGTTGACAGATGGCTTAAAAATAGCAGGGTCTGGTTTTAGATGAGTTGCCTGTTCCGGACGAGAAATACCTGTTGCAGGTATTAGCTGAACTCGGCGACGATAGAATGCTCCCTTAGACTCCATGTATCGCCTAACATAAGTGGTAACTCTTGATCGCACTGTCGAAGGAAGTTCAGGAGTAAGAACAGTTGAAAATAAAGAAGTGTTCGCTGCCTGGGCTTGATGAAACTTCTGTATTTCTTTTAGGATTACGGCCTGAGCAAGCTGGAAAAATAGGAATGACTTAGTAGGTTCAGCAGTAATTTCATAATGTTAAAACATATCGCACAATGAATTACTGAAATCAATAGTGTGGTTTATTTTGATTCAAGACTCTACATGATTATTCCAACAATGGATAATCTAAAAAAACTGGTTCCTTAACGACTGATCCCTTAAAAGCATTTGTATAAAACTGAATTCCTATAATGAGCAATCGTATACAGCAAAAGTGAATAAACTACCTTTTTTGTTAAGTAGTATAAATCTTCATCGTTAACAATACGACCAAGTTTACATCGAGCATCACGAAAGCCACGTAACGTATTGTGGACCAAAGTGAATAACTGAAATAAAAATATTGTAGTTTGTTCATCTAGCCAGTCGCAATATTTTTAATGTATTTTTAAAAAACCGATTATGCTATTTATCAAAATAAGTCGCCCGATTCTATATGTAAGTGGTAAACAACAGATTATTTAGCCGATAATTCCAAGAATCCTCATGAATTTTATAAGACGTAAGTGTAGTTTACGTCCAAGTTCGCATGACAAGCTGTGGTCCATAGTAATCTAGGTGTTTGCATAAAATTATCATACATATTCAACAGTTCTTGAATCTAGCTTGTAATGATGAGGCTATCTTACACACGTTATATCAGTTAATAAGTTCATACATGCAATACGGTCTTCATAGCCTGGCCTTCCTTAAAATGTTACTCCAAGTGGATAAAACACCTTATTCTAATTACTCGCACGTCTCTGATTTAACAGTAGGAGTGTTTAATTTACAAAAAAGTAACACATGAGAAAAATAAAAGGACTAACTTCCATGGCAAAGCCTTGTTCAGTTACATCCTGAGGAGCATCTGGTCTGCCTGCCAATTCATGCAGAAGATCAATGCACTGACGTTCCAATATTCGTTGACGCACGCGATTATACATCTGTAACATAAGTTCGGTTTGGAAATTATTGGCTTTTGTACAACAGAACAAACGGTTCTAAAGAATCCCCTTTGTGCATAAGAGTGAGTTTTGGAACTATAGACAAAAATTTTAACACAGAACAAGCTTCAGTTTATCGTTTGACTTTTCAACACCGTTTAAATAAGGGCAAGAGGAAAAAGAACTTGGATGTAAATTAAGAACAATTCAAGTCGTGAGACATCAGAAGCAACATTCGAGGTCGTATGGTCTTGGAGATGCTCCAAGGCGAGAAAATAAACTTGTTTACCAAGTTGTACTTGAAGAATGATGGATGAAGTAGAACAGATTTAATTCAGTACTACGAACTCCATTGAATAGTAATTGTAGAATGAATAAAACTATACACAGTAACATAATCACAAGAATATAATAGCATGGCTTACAGCTTCAATTTCTTCGTGTGTGACAGCGAATCGCGACGCACATCCCCAATTGTAAGGAGCTTCCGGGTCATCCTCTCCGGTTTCACCAAGAAGAGTATCCGTAGGATCGGCGTCCCATGGATATACAGGTGGATCCCACCTAGTTTGACGAGTTCGGACATGGTAATAATAATAAGCATATGTGCCAGAACTATCCCCTAGATCTTGCCCTTCTGTCGAACGCCTAGTATTTGGTGCTCTTTGCCACCCTGGAGGCAGGGGACTTGTACCATCTTTTGATAGGTGCAGATGCAAAGCAGGTAATGGTTGTCTTTCAGTTGGTTGTGCTCGCCGACGTTGCCTTAGCTGTGCGCAACGTTCCTGGAGTTATCCAAAAAACAGAATGCCTTCGAACATAATATGCAGTAAAAACTTCAAATAAAACTTGGGATAACTATAAATATTTTACTCAATAGTGTAATATTCATTTGGCTGACTGTAAACAGAATATTTTGATGCATTAGTACATACAATTTTCAAGATTTATCGGAAACATTCTTGAAACATTTTATTAAAAAATATCTCCCAAAGACTTGGCACGGTTTATACAATCAGTTTTTTATGATGCTGGCCTTAAATATGACAAGTGCAGAGCATTCTCTCAATCATCTCTTTACTCCGTGTCTTGATAACAAATTAACTGACTGATTAAATATCAGTAATTCGAACATATGGTTAGGATTTTCTAGTGTTGGAATGTTTTCTTGCAACAACGCTCTGGTGCTGGTCTAAATTTTAGGTTAAACTAACGCTAGAATGTTTTTAGAGAAATCGGTAACAAGCCGATTGGAAATCCTCTTGGTTTTTGCTGGTAATGCTCAAATGGACTTGTGCTGCCACAAAAGTCATGCCAGTTTTGATTATATTCGGATTCATAACTCGTGACCATTGAAAAATAACTAAGGTCTTAAAAAATGGAGGTATTCTATGGAGTCTAAACAAAAGCAAGGGCTTCTAGAAATCACTTACCTTCGTAGCCTTACTCAATTCCATTCCGGCAGAAACAGCACTCAGCGATGATGTAGCAGCCGAAGATGTACGTCTTTTTTAAGGCAAACAAAAGAAGTACTGAATATCAAGAACAATTAGATAAAAAAGGAAAGCTTCAGTTGAATACCTAATAGTAGATTTAAACATTTACACAATAGCATTTCTGAATATCTATGAAAATTCAGATAGATAAAATAATTACATAGAGACAAACAGAAATACTCTTCAGCTTTCGAGAAAAAACTCGTCAACAATCTCAATGTACTTACGAGAAGAACAGGTACGTTTGACAGTTAAACTTGCTGGTAAAACCGGAATTAGTTTTGGTTAAGATAATCAGTTAGTCATTTGGTAGGGAAATATCTACTTCATTGATAATATGAAACCACAAATTAACATTACGTAATCTCAAATTGTGGTAACTCCAACAAGTTTACGCCAAAGCATACAGGTCACTCTAAGTTTTAAGATATAGAGAACGTTCAGATCATTATAGTAGGGAGGGACAAGTCTACTCTAGCATGATGCTAGCATTAGATAATACTAGTTACTGCATAATTTTTACGATAGTGAAAAAAATTATCTATTAGGTTTCAAAAGTACTATTATTAAAATATGTATTACTTGGTGGACATTGTTGATAAATTTTGACGTATAGTGGAAACGTGTTTATATGGTCTCAGAATATTTTATTTAGTAAAAAGTCATCAAATTTTAAGTAAACAACTCAGTTCGAAGATATCGCAAACAAACTGCACATTAAAAACCATAAACTACCTCAACTAATTTGAATCAGTAGTTTAACACACCAGCACCATAAATTTGGTGTTTCATTAGTACTCTGAGTCAGTTAGCTTTTGGACACTTTAAAATAAAACTCGATGGGAAAATGAGTCACAATTCTAATAATATAAGGAATTACACATATAATTGGAATCAACTAAGCCATGTAAATCACCATCCACGACCATTAAAAATTACTACTTTGTGGTAAAACAATCTTGTGAGATTTTATTTTTCGGAAAGCATTTTTTTCCAGAGTATTTGTGGTTGTGAAATTTATTGTTTGCTAATAAAGCTCATTTATTTATTGGAATATCAAGTTGGTAATTTCATAGGCCTGGGAAATAAAAAAACAAATTGGTGATATACCTTTGTGCGACATTGGAATCTAGCTGGTTGAAGATATGAGACGAAGAGAGAGGTCCAGCAAGAGCACATGATATCGTGCTACCGGGGTCAACTATTTTGGGTGAAGAAATTGGAGTTCTGCTGAACCTAGATATAAGATCGATGGGCTCACATTCAGAGTCGTCTATCAGTAGATCTACTCCAGGTATATAAATACCAGAGCTATCAACAGCTTCTTGAATGAAACAACTGTCCCTGTTAACATCACGGGAACGTTGTGCAGCGGAACCAATAAAAATGCTATTCCGTTTTGAAACTGGAAATAACAAAAAGTAGCGAACACACTTTTTAGTTGTTATTTCAATTTATAAATAGCATTTCATTGACTGAAATACCTGAACTATGAGCAGTATACAAGAACTTGAAAACATTGAAACCCTAAAAATGCGAACATAAAATATTTATTGGCGCAAAATTATCAGCTTGACGTGAGTGACTTCCCAAACCGTTAATCTACTTCTCAAAGATTAAACTATTACAGAAATTACGTTAATTTCCATAGTTAGTATCTCTTTACCGTTATTACGTGTAGGTTGTATAGAATAGGTTATTAATAAATTTAATCCGACACGCAAATTCATCACCTAAAAGTTTTTCTAAAACAATCATTTATTAAGGCTATATACTAAGGATCCAACCAACAACTACAAAATTAAGTAAACAACGGAAGTCATCATAAATGACATAAAACCTGAGATTGACTAATAATAATAATAAATATTTCAGTCGCGCAAATTAAAAGGACAGTGGTATTTCTCGTCGCAGAGTAAATTTCATTGTTTTGATCGTTTATTACGTATCAAGACTACTGTTTTCAATTTAATTGAATTCATTTCAGTCAAAGTATTCGAATAGGGTACCGTTTTTACCGTTCTCTCAATTAGTTTTGTCGTTGCTACTCTTGCGTACCTCATTTTCAATTGTATCTGTTAGTACTTTTGGTCCTAACAATCTACAGTTCTTCGCTTTTTGGTCATTGATTATTTTCGGTTTCTGAGAATCATCGCATCTCGTCCCTTTTTGAAAAGGACTCCTTTTAAATGACCGGACAGTGTAAAAAAGCAGTTGAAATCGTCCGGGTTGTCGTTATCCCGTTGAAAGCGGCATGCAGTGCGACAAGTGCAAAAGCTGGTACCAAGAAGTTTGCGCGAAGTTAACGCCTGCGGCTTTCAAACGGTTCAGTAAGAAGGGTTGCGTCTGGCTTTGTCAACAGTGCTGTTCGGATGCAAACAGCCTGTTAACCGAGGCCATCTCACTGGTTGATGCTGCAAAGAAGTGTTTTAGCAAGCGTAGTTGGAACACATCACACAGCACTTGATCTGTCGACACACAAATCGAAATGAAGCAAACTACGGTTAGTTCGATAGTAGATGACTCACGCCGGTCAAAGAAGGAAAAGCAGTCTCCGATGGGGCCTGCCTTAAACAAAAGCTCAAGAAAAGTAGGTTCTTCTGTTCCCCGTCTCCCAGATGGGATCCCACAGGAAACGCCTAAAAGCCGCAATCGCAAGACTCGATCGGTTTCAAGCGGTGGCTTCGGATCTGCTACACTAATGCCCGGAGCTTACTTAATAAGCGATCGGAACTAGGTGTACAGATTGACTCTACAGAAACCAGGCTGACACAGGCTACAAATAGTATGGAACTTGATTTCGAGGGTTTTACGTTAGTAAGGGCCGATAGAATACAAAAGCGTAAAGGAGGGGAAGTAGCTCTATTCATTAGGAATGCTATCTTATTTGCCATTATCGACAGTGTATCCCATGAGAGTGGGACGTGTGAATTAGTTAGTCTCGGCTTGAAATGCAAGGGACAAGAGCTGCTGATTGGTTTGTTTTATCGCAGTCCAAGCTGTGAGGTAAATGAAGTCCTGCTAAGCAGTCTCAATACTTGGTCACAAAGTGGTCGATGTCTAATCCTAGGGGACTTTAATGCACCTATGGTAGACTGGGAAAATCTGCGAACTGAATCGTCAGAAAATTCCTTCGAGCAGGAACTAGTTGATGTGGTTATCACATGTGCTCTAGTGCAACATGTGAAAGAAGCGACTAGGTACGACCCGAATACTAAATCATCATTACTAGATCTTATATTGACTCACTATGAGGATGACGTTGCGAACCTCCATTACATGCCAACCCTAGGTAAAAATGATCACGCAGTTCTAACTTTCGACTTCCATATAACCGTCAATCACGAGCACGCGTTAGCACAATCTAGACCTAAAGTTTGGAAAGCAAACATACCAGATATCATGCACTCAGCATCGTTGGTAGATTGGACAATAGATCCAGAGTCCCGGTCCCAAGCCCGGGTAAAGGAGGAGGGTTGGGCATGGGGTTAGCGTTCCCATCCCGTAGAAAACTAACTCGCTAAAAAAACGCTTACTAGAAAAAAATTATTCAAACCATTTAAACTCTGTCCTGAAAGTTAGAAGGTCTTCATTTAGAAGAACTATGACGGTTCACGGTGAAAGCCAAGTTCCTAAACGCTTTTGACAAGGTTCCGCACAACCGGCTGTTACATAAGCTAAGAAATGTCGGAATCGGAGGCAATCTATTGATGTGGATAAAATACTTCCTATTTGGGCGCCAACAAAGAGTTCGGGTGAACTCAAAGTTATCTAGCTGGGAAACTGTGCTTAGTGGAGTGCCCCAGGGCAGAGTTTTGGGGCCAGTGCTATTCCTCTTGTATATAAATGACCTTCCTCGTCTCCGATTATCATCGCTCTTGCTGTATGCTGACGATGTCAAGATATGGAGAACGATGCGATATGAGGGTGATAGCTTAGAACTTCAAAATGACCTGCAGAAATTATCTGAATGGTCTCAAACCTGGCAGTTGCCGATAAATACTTCCAAGTGTGTTGTGATGCATATCGGTCATCAAGGTACATATACATACACGATAACACTGAGCTACCTGTTGTCCAGACACAATGACTTAGAAGTCATCGTTAGCCAAGATTTAAAGACTACTGCACAATGCAGCGCAATAGCTGCCAAAGGTTTTAGAACTTTATGGTCAATATCTAGGGCTTTCAGACATGTCGACGCTAAGACGTTCTTGACTTTATATACAGTGTTCGTAAGTCTTAAACTTGAGTACTGCATACAAGCGGCTAGCCCCTGCTTAAAAAACGACAGTGAGCTTCTGGAAAAGGTTAAGAGAACTGCAAATAAGCTGATTCCCGGAATAACGAAGCTTCCGTATGATGCTCGATTGGCCAAGCTAAACCTATTCCCGTTGTCATATCGTAGAACTAGAGGCGATTTGATTACAGTTTTCAAATTGCTTATTGCCAAATTTGCACCTGATATGCCCTCATTTTTCTTGTCTTCCAAAACAGAGAATTTACGAGGACACTCCGAAAAAGTTCACAAGCCCAGAACAAATTACTTGTCAGCTGACTATCGACGTTCTCACCGAATCATCAACGAGCGGTATTCATTACCTCAGCACGTGGTTAAGGCTCCATCCGTCGATTCATTCAAAAGAAAGTTGGATTAACTGAGAGACCACCATTGCCAGGGCTAACGCAGGTCATCAAGCCTCCTGTCCTTTCCAAACTGAAACTGAGTTTCAATAAGCTTGATGTAATATTTAGAACTAAGACCAACCCTTGGGCGAATTGTGAGTATCCGTTACTTTTTGAAAACCACTTAATTAGGTGAAGCCAAAGGTAGCTTAAGTACGTTTTAAACCGCTATATAAGCCTCAGAAGAAACAAGGTAAAATGAAATATTTTTACCGCAGGAAATATCAAAATCCTTTTGAGAACTTTTTCATTGGCAATCCAAATAATGATGAATACACCTATTTCATACACGTCGATTAGCGAATTATGGTTAATTGAAGAATCTGTTAATCTTTATATTACGAGATTTCACTATAAGATATACGAAGCGGCAAACTACAGATGTAAAATCCAGGTTATCACTGACACTTAAATTGATATAACTAAGTACATAACAGGTATGTATTTAAAAATTGGTCAATAGAGAAATTCGAAATAGGGGAAACAGACATCATTGTTACCTCAACAGTAAGTTACAAGCAACTTAGAACTTAGCCCATATATGCATTGATTCGAGTTGACACGCTATATCAGTGGACGATGTAATTACCAAAACAAATTTCAGAGCACTAGAGACAGTACCAGTGGTGGTAGAACATTACGGAATAAAAAAATACACGATAATTTCAAAAAACAGGTCACAGGAAAACAAAGTGAGTGTGCATACTAATTTTAGACTGATTCTGTCTAATGTCACTTGTCGTCAATCATTAGTTATGATAATCACAGCGACACCAACCAGTTATTCCGCATCCATCTGCACGGTTCAGTTCAAAGGACCCCTCCATAATTTCCTTTCGACCTACTATTACACCAGAAAATATATTTCGTCATCATGATGTACGTGCACGTACAAATTCGACATCTACTTTTTAGTGTAGATATTATTTCAAATGTCCGAGTCTTGCGAACAAAGACACTTAATAATTAATAAAAATCTATATGGTCGGTTTCCAGCCATACACAGTAGTTTGGACATATTTGTGAGGACTCGATAACTCTTATGTCTGCTAAGTTAGGGTTATTATCGAAGGCTAGGAGTAATTTCGAATACATATTAGGTGAAGATGAATAAAATAACAAGGCAAATAATTCCTTTAATAGGGACAAGCTTACTTGAAACTACAGAGTTGCCATATGAAGATTCTGGTGAAACTGCCGAAGAAGGAGCCCGAGATTTACTGAGGGGGGAAAAAAACGGAATAAGATTTTCGTCCTTTTCTAACTTTTTAGCTTGTTCCATTTCAGCCATCGTGAATGAATGAGCTACACAATAAGGAGGCGATTTACGCTCAGACCGGTATTTATTCTCTGTTAGTTTTAGCGCAACATCCGGGACTTCATTTATTACTCCGATTTCATAGGTTAAATTGTGAGCCAAAGGTAAAGAATGATTTTCTGACCGTCGAGCTGTAATTCTGATTTCCGAAGATAAATCGAAACCACGAGAACCTAGTCTGTCAAATTGACTATTTGATGTCGATGGTTCATGAGACTGTTCTTCACATTCATCTTGCCCAACAGTACAGCAATTACGCTTTGCAGAAGAGTTTGAAACTAAACCGAATGATTCATAAGGACGTTTAACCGAATGTGAAGTCCGAAAATCATCTCCAAGTATTTTATTCTCAAATTGTGACATGTTTGAAAAGACAAAAGACTTAGATGGATCTTCGCTTACAGACTCTCCATGCCTTTTAGAGTCAATATTTCTAGTCATACACGTATCACCGCAATCGTTATTCAGAACGCGGGAATTTTGGAGACACAACGGATATTGAGTACATAATTGTGACTGATCATCCGGTATAACTTGGGACCGAACGAACTGCCGAGATTTATTGTTAACATTTGCATATTCTGTCACACAATTAGGAATACCCTCATCATCTACAGGGATTTTTCTATCTTTTTCATGTCTGCCCGACATCCGCAGTGTAGCTCACTAAATTCCAATAGCGCGGTGAACTAATCAAACACTGCTTCACAGTTCTTGATTCTGAATAGAAAATAAGAGTTGCAATTTTTAGCATTAAGTAATATTTTGTTTACGAAACATTTGTTCATTTGCATATGGCGGTTTTGTTTGTAACTTTTGGCGCTCAGTATTTTCCGTGATGTTTGCCGCCACAACACCTGGCTCCATAATGACAGCCGAGTCCTCCTCTCACCAACTGGTGGGGTACGTCACTAAGATGTACCCTACATTCGGATATATTAATAACGAAATTTTTTTCCAGAGAAAGTAAGTTTCTCTCTTTGTATTAAGACGTAAGGTGTGTAATTGGTCCTATGGTTGAGGTAGGAGATAATGTTGCTGCAAGCGCAGTTTATCAACCTCACATGCCTATAAAGTGGAGTGCCGAAAAAGTCTGGCGGGTTGAGGAACGTCGCGGCAAATCTAGAGACAAAGCAGAAGAAAGCAGCTACTGGAAGAGCCAGTCCCCGCGTAAACACTCTCCTCGTGATAACTACACTAAACCAGCATCACGTGAACGAGATGTTCATCCATCCAGCGGCGATCAGCGACGAGTAGATAAGAAGCGTTCTCATGTCCTCAACAGGTATTGTGCCGTTAATTTTTATTTTCGTTGTTAGAGATGACCACTCAATCAAGAAATCTCCGAATCGTGATCGAAGAAGAACTCCTGTGGATTCTGTTTCAACGCGACACTCCTCTCCCACAACTGACTTGTATTGTAGGACTCCGATCAACCCCAAACGTATGCTGAATGTGAAAGAGTACTTGTTCTCAGACCTACAAAGACGCTTCCCTAATGTTCTCCCACCAGTTGACTTGTATCGAGTTAGATGCAATTGGCAAGAATCATTCCCATTACTGCGACCTTTTCAGCCTCAATACCTTACAACTTTCCAGGTAGACTTTCCGACTTTTTTTACTGATAAGCTTAATTATCTACTGAAGAAGCAATTATTCCTAACTATTAATAGATAATTGCCACACCTTATAACCTAAAAACAATTTATGCTGTTAGATTGCAAATGCTTAGTAACATTACCAGCAATAGACTAGTTTCATGACTTGTGGCCTTGATGACTTACAGTAGTACTATCAGGTCACTGGTGTAAGGAAGTAGCATTTCTCGGTTAAGACTGGTATAACGCGAAACCGCTGTTACTTCAAGTAAATGTTTCATCATAATGATAACTACGAGATCTCACTTCTTCCTAGGACATGTCATCCCACTCAAGTTTATAACATCATATCTGACTTGATGCCATACCAATTAGCTGGCTAACTCTACTTTTCTTTTTAGGTGGTAGTTTTGTGTTTTAGGCTTGATAAGCTTATGAGTCTAAGCATAGTCATGTCATGCTTGTCCTCGCTAGTCGTCCCAGTCTTCAGTCATTCTCCGATAATATTTTCGATCTTAGTATGGAGGCTCTGCCTGACCCTTGTCTGCTCTAAAATAGTACTTCGTGAAGCTTCCTTTAAGTCAGATTCATCAACTTCTGTTCATCTGTCTAAAAGAACTGGGCGTCTATATTATAGTTCGTCTTGCCTTCTTGCGCCCACCAGTGTTGTTTATTTATTTGAACACAAAAACACTGATGCAAAGGGACACTAAATATATGTGCACCACAATAAAGTTAAGGTTGTAACCGTGTCGAAAAAGTAAAGTATGGTATGAAAGATCATTAAGTGGGAACTAGTGTATGAACGAAATAATAACAAGCAGTAAAACCAGGCAAATATATCACAAGGTCCCTGTGAAAGCGCACGCGGAACAAGCTTTTCAAAGCGACAGATGTAGTGAGTGCGTAATAATTCATTAGTCTTGAATGTGGACCTCAGATACACAACAGACAGGTCTAATTCCCGAAGCAGTGACGCAAGGTTGAGAGATTCAGTCCCATGGTAGCCTGTGACCAACGATAGGCTCATACGCGATTTGTTCCCTTAGGAACCTCGAGCCCATATGCACCATTGGTTTAGAATTAGGGTTATCCAACTTCCCTAGGTGGATCTTCCGTATCTCCCAACCCGTATATTCGCTTTTCATCCTATCAGTCTCGTAGATAACACTGCCGCAATAAGGCACTTGGTAGGACATCCGTGGCAATGACTTTATACGAGTAGCTGTATGAGCGTTTCGTGAGAGAGAGCTGACTCTCCCCACTCTCTACCTGTACCATAGCATTTGTGATGTAGACAAGATACTAAACTATTTTATTTTACCCAGCATGTTAAATTGGAAAACTTCTTTAGGGATTTAGTTATTGACTAAGTATTTAATACTTTTTGCACGGTGTTGTTAAATATAAAGTTATGTGTAAATCCCAAATTGAATCTGGTCAGTCGACTAACAAACGTTTTATCGACTGGTTGCTACATGGCTCATAAATTTTATTTAGCTGCTTCGTTAACATAATTGATCTCGAAGTTAGTTCTCAACCGTAAGTAGGCCATATGGCTATTATTGTGCTGATAATTCAAGATAATATAAATACAAATACAAATTTGTTTTAAATTTATTCGTTGGCAAAAGCCTTTTTTCATTTTTTCATCATGTAGATAATTAAAGAACCTGAAGACGCTTGTGACGATGTGCATCATTCTTACAACAATGATAGTGGTTTTGCTGCGTATGTCTTACTTTTGTCACTCCCGGCAATGGCAGAACTAATGGAGAAGATAGTTGTCCGGGCAGAGTCGCCTAGTCGTGTACGCGGCTCACTACGTAAGTACATCAAGATACTAGCTGCTGGAAAGGTTGATGAAAGACTCAAGGCTATTGGAGGTTCGTGGAGTCGTGATTTAGATGGGCCAGACCCAGCTACAAATCCTCAAACTCTTGTCAACACGGCTATTCGTAATTGTAAACAACTTATTGGTCTCGATTTATCGTATTGCACACAGTGGTATGTTACTCAGTTTTAACTTGTGATCTATGTTTCTGGTCAGTCTTTCGCAGTTTATTCTTAAGCAGGTATATTGTAGCACCAAATCTAGTCCCATTGCTCATAATCATTTTATTGTTAACGAAATGTCACCTACCATCTTGACTACTGTTCTTCCGTATCTATAAACGGTTGTGTAGAGTAAATAAGCTGTCTCCACATTCACTAGTAAGTCAGTTCAAATGCCTAATTCTTCTGGATTGTGCGTTGATCTTCGTACAAAAATTCAGAGAAATCTCCATTGAAATAAATAAATTTATATCTGTTAAGTACTTATTTCTCTAAGTCTGCCCAACAATAAAACACTGTCAGGTCATAAGTGCTCACTATAGCGTCTTTGATTTTAAATCGATCCTAATGTTTTCACAACCTCATTGCATAGCTTGATAATTTATCTGTCTAATTTTTAACTTTCCTTATATTGTTTATATACAAATATCAAACAATATGGGTCTTACGCGTTCCTTTGATCGACGTCGCGTTTACTGTTGTTATCATCCTGTCCACTTTCCCCAGGCACCGTTTCCTGGAGTTCCGCTATAGTCGTACTGAAGGTTCAACTGCCCAACCAACCTCAGTCTTATTTCCTGGCTCTCAACTTTGGGGTCGACCCGTCACAGAATCTCCTGAATCTGATATGATTCCTCCAAGCAAACCATTTCATCAAATTGTCGTATATTTTATTCCAAATGTTTGGTCACTCATGCCTACAGACGAAGAATGGTCGACTGTAAAGCTGGCTTATGAAAATATCTTGGCTTCAAAAGAACCTAACGTATTTCCAATGACTCCTTCCAACTTGAAGAAGTTTTCTGGTTTAGAATCTGCTTTTAAGGGAACTGGTGACGGGAAATTTAATGTGGCGATTGAACTGGATTCAAATTCACTGAAATCACCTACTCAAGACAATGCATATGAAGATTCCAATGTGTCTAAAATGGATGAAGGCAACAAGTCAACCCTTCAAGCGCCTGTTGAATTCCATCGCTCTACCCCGTATTTGGCTGGTCAGGAAACTGTTCCAAAAATAGCAATTATCTCCGAGACAGAGGATGGGTCCGAATCTGTGGATTTAGCAGCTCAAGGAAATCCAAATCAGGAGGTTGCTACCTAACTTACTGTTGTCATATTATGTTCCTACAGTATATCTAGCATTTAGTCATTTAATTTGCATATAAAGTCTGTAATTTATTTACGATCATGATAATGCAAACAACTTTCAAGATATCATAGTAACTGTTATGTTTATCTGTTTTTTCCGTCAGGGAACTGATAAATGCCAGAAAAAGCTTCATACTGAACTTAACTTAGCTAGCATGAAGGTAAGCACATTTACATCTCTCATTCCATTTCTTATTGTCACTATAATATTTTGGAGCAGTACATGCAGTGGTTTCAAGCCAGTACAATCATATTCACAAGCACGTTCGTTTTTTTTGCATTTTATACTCTTGTGCATTACTTTCGTTCACATTCTTTCTATCAATTCGCATAAACGTTATCGTACCGCTCAGAATAATGGGGAATTTTCGAGCTTGAAATTTCCACGTTCCATTTCAAGTTTCTGACAATGTCTAGATCTAGATTTTGCAACTGCTGATGAATGCAACTTTTCTCTTAAATACATATTTCACTGGAACAGTTAGTAAAATGTTTACAACTATGATTATTGACTTCTTGCTATTAATCACTATGCACTAACAATGCTAATTATTTAACTCCATGAGATGTTACACCTGGTCACTTAAAACCGCTCACTAATTTACATGATAGCCATGTTCAAATATTTTGTCAACAGACTTCCTTAGCTCGGACTGTAGAGTTCTGTCCCATTGATGCTCGCAGATTTATCAGGCTGCGAACACGATAAATAGCGAACGCAACTTAAACGTAGACTGGGAAAAAGCCTACACAATGGTCGTGAGCATTGGTGTACCGATAAATCGAAATTTTAAAAAATGGCAATGACAATACGCGATGGGAAACAACTTTACAAATTTTTCAAAGAAACATATGAAGAATTCGCCAATCACTGAGACATTTTAAAAAACACGGAACAATGATCCACTCTCAATCCAGGAGGCCAGAACGGTGGGCTAGACACTTTGAAGAACAGTTTAACTACTCTGCATCTGCCTTTCGGTTACACACTTTTACCAAGCAACCTAGAATGTCAGCACAAGCCATTCAACTCTTAAAGAGGTAAAAAAAGGTATACCTAATCTAAACCGAGACAAAGGAGTATTCCCTAATGTAATAACCCGGAGATCTCTAAGGGTGATGTTCTAATTATGGCCATTAGATTGACTGGGATCTTGGCTAGAGTCAGGGAAGTAGATTTAATTCCACCTGACTAGTCTCAATCATTGATCGTTCCAGTCTATAAGAAAGAACAAAGATCCTCTTGTTGTAACCGCAAAGGAATCAGATTAATTAATAGTGTCTAAAATATAAACCTCATTAATCATATGACGGTTATCTAAGGTTTATGAGGAGTAAACTCGAGGAAAGCAAGATGGTTTCAGACTTAGACGTGGTTGTGTAAACCAAACATTCGCTCTTCGCCAGACTCTGGAACACAAATATACCAACTAACTCTCAAGCATGGTTGTATCTCCTGACCTTAAGGCGGCCACGTTCAACTCTGTAGATCGGCGAGTTTTTGAGTGTCTTTTATTGGAAGGCGTACCAAGAAAGTACATAGACCTTGTGAAGGCTTTCTATTCAAACACAGTTGATCGAGTCAGAGTCCACTATCTCCATTTTATTTGATTTTATCATTGATATCTTTCTGGAAATAATATTTTCTCCAATTGACTTTCCGGGGGTCGATCTCCTGCCAGGATGTTTGGCTAATGACTTGAAATACGCAAATGGCATAGTTCTGTTTGATGAAGAAGCTGACAAAATCCAGTTTTATGATTGACTTGGAAAACAACGTTAGCATGTAAGAGATGCGTTTCCCTCACTGCATCATTGGTTGGCATACTCAGTTTTGTGCTAAAGCCTTCAAAATTGAACATCCATAAGTCCAGTTTTCTCTGCTTTTAATCTGATTTATTAAAGACGCCACTCTTAGTTATGGACAACAATCTGTTTTTTTTACATAATAAGCTTATATAGTTTTTTAAACATGGCTGGTTACCATGATTGTCTTGTCATCGGGTTGTGCTTAAAATTGTTAGAGGCTCTGTACTCATCAACCTCGAGCAGTGTGAAAAGATATAACCACCTCTATTTTTCCAACCTAATAAAAACGTCCAGTCTCACCCTTCTCAACCGTATCATCAATAACATTCTGAATACAGCTTTGGAAATACGTAGTGGAGGCGTTCATTTGTTACTTCAAGATTTCGAGTGCCAGTTCCATTATGGTACAGTGCAACAATACACCACGTATCCAAAGTTCTCATTCAGCTAACAGTTGGTATTCGTAATTAATGAATGTACTTTGCACTTTCAGAACGCAAAATAATTCTCATGTCAAGAACCTATGTCTGCACTCGCATTCCATTAGAAACATTCGGGTAATTAAGTGTTAAGTTGATAATAAGATCAATATACGTATACTGAAAAGTAAATAAATAAACTTAACTGAATGTAGTCTCTATCGACTTTTAAATAAACTGTATCATCATATACTTTCGTTTTCCTACAGTATTATCACTTTATTGGTATGGTGCATTTTGGGTTTTCTATTTTACTACTTGAATTAAGATACTCGAAAAATAAATGTTGATATTTAATGACTTTCGTAGGTTTCCGAACTGCGTGAACAGTTAAAAGCTCGTAATTTGCCTACTGAGGGAGTAAGAGCTCAGTTGTTGACTCGTCTCAAAACGGCAATCCAAGAAGAAGAAGAAAAGGAGTCGGCTAAGAAGGCTGAAAAAGAAAGTAAATCATTTCACAAATAGATGCTTGTGTATTCATCTAATTATATTCTCTAATCCCTTAAGTTTATACATTTTCCTGACCTACACTTTCAGAAATGGAGCAGGAAAAAACATTACAGTCTGTGACCATTGATAAGTCACCCCAGGTTTCAGAAGAACAAATAAAACCTTCAAATACGGAGTCTGGATCTAAACCATGGACGGATGCACCTAAGTTGACTCTCCGTGATCTCCCTTCAATAATAATCTTACGCAAGAAAACTGTCGACTTCACCGTACAGTCAGTTGGGCTTGATGTAAGTAGATATTTTATAGTTTCCTCTGTATTTCTTATCAGGCCATCAAATTGACCTTAGTTTTTTCGTTTCTTTCATACGAATTAATATAAACTGCTCGTCAACAATAGGTGTTTGCATAAACCTTAATAATGTTGTGTCTATAATACTTGCCACAAAACTAAAAGAGGAGGCATCAATAGTTTGGGTAATATACCATCTTACTCGTAGTAACCTTTAACATTACGTCACCCAAGCTTCTTCATTTTAAATAATGAATCAACCCATAGCTTCTGTTCGGTCAATCAATCATGTTCAATTTAGAGCCTGGCACATATGTATGCATCAATTCAAGTTGTCACATTTGAATTTTAATCGGTTGTCAACTGAATAATTTACATTATACAATAGTCGAAGGTAGAACAGAGCGTTCTGAGGCTTCAAGTCGGCTGCCGAATAACGAAAGTTATGGTAAGTCTCGTATCATTTCTAAATAGTATTACGTCCATTTAAGAAATTTCGTCAGTATTAACTCCTGATATAACTTGGATCAATATTATATGTTTCATTTTGCATTCACTTCTCACATTGTTGTACTTAAAGGTTGTCATGGATTCAAAATCTGATTTTATGGACTGTAGATCATATGAATTCATGTTTTGCATCCACACAATCTTTGACATGCTTCGCAGAGATTCCGTATTCACTTTATTTCGTGCCCTTGTTACGGCTGCAGATAGAGGAATTTGCGCAAAACCTAGGAAACGCAGGTATTTTTAAATCTGTATTATTTAGTTACTGTTTTATGTTGTGTTACCTCTTGTTCCAAAGTTGTTCATTCATTAATGTCTCCACTGTTTTAACTATTGTATTATACTCTGGGGGGGACTTTCAACAATTCTTTTTTTCTTAGTGAACCAGATTATGTAGCTAAACGTGCTCGTTTAGAGCGTAATGAAAGGACATCTCTGGCAAAAGACGAGGAATTTAAGGAAACTCCATTGTATACGACCGATCTACCATTGCTTTTTGCATGCACAGTACTGGATACAAGCTATAAGAGTTATTTCCTCTCGTCGGAGGTCGAGGACTTCATTCTTTCACTAGGCTTGCCTATCTCTCGATATCAGGTGAGTGGTCGTTTTTAGTTTTCACTTAACGGAATAGTTGTTAAATTTTCTTGTACATGTCCAACATTTATTTGGATATTATTACTCCTTACTTTTTCCGCGGCCTATAAATATCTGATTACGCTTTGGTTAGTTTATTTCACTTCATTTAATAAACATATGAACATTGGTATTAAGAAACATCAAAATATATATGCGATACGTAATAAGAAAATAAGGACTCCGATCAACCCCAAACGTATGCTGAATGTGAAAGAGTACTTGTTCTCAGACCTACAAAGACGCTTCCCTAATGTTCTCCCACCAGTTGACTTGTATCGAGTTAGATGCAATTGGCAAGAATCATTCCCATTACTGCGACCTTTTCAGCCTCAATACCTTACAACTTTCCAGGTAGACTTTCCGACTTTTTTTACTGATAAGCTTAATTATCTACTGAAGAAGCAATTATTCCTAACTATTAATAGATAATTGCCACACCTTATAACCTAAAAACAATTTATGCTGTTAGATTGCAAATGCTTAGTAACATTACCAGCAATAGACTAGTTTCATGACTTGTGGCCTTGATGACTTACAGTAGTACTATCAGGTCACTGGTGTAAGGAAGTAGCATTTCTCGGTTAAGACTGGTATAACGCGAAACCGCTGTTACTTCAAGTAAATGTTTCATCATAATGATAACTACGAGATCTCACTTCTTCCTAGGACATGTCATCCCACTCAAGTTTATAACATCATATCTGACTTGATGCCATACCAATTAGCTGGCTAACTCTACTTTTCTTTTTAGGTGGTAGTTTTGTGTTTTAGGCTTGATAAGCTTATGAGTCTAAGCATAGTCATGTCATGCTTGTCCTCGCTAGTCGTCCCAGTCTTCAGTCATTCTCCGATAATATTTTCGATCTTAGTATGGAGGCTCTGTCTGACCCTCAGTCAGTCAGCTACAACGTAGGACCAGGCACATATGTGCATCGGTCCAGGTTGCCATACCTCATTAGCACAGCAAGATGAACAGCGGATTCATAGGAGTGGTTAGGTCAAAGGTTGCAATGAGGATATAGTATAGGAAGAAAGAATTAGTTCGTAGACAGAAAGAATGAAGTGATTTTAATCTTTTAGTTTAAGGGAAGACAGGGAGTGTATACACCGACGCCATTGTGATCGATTCTGAGCCATGTCACCAAGAGTCTCCAACCATTGGTTACGAAAGTCACGCGGACCCCAACCAAGTAGTCTGCATCTACCAACATGACTCAGACTAGAAGTTAGTGACTTCAGGCACTGATGCCACGTTTTGGTTCGGCCGCCCCTAACTTTCTTCCAACCATCCCCTACCCCGGTTAGCATTGCACGTCGTGGTAATCGGTGTTCAGGCATACGTAATACGTGCCCCAACCATCTCAGTCGATGAAGATTCATAACCTCATCAACTGATTTACCATCATTCCCTAATACCCTGTGTCTAACCTCACTATTACTTACCCGGTGATCCCAGCAGATGCCAGCAATACTTCTAAGGCATCTGTGGTCAAATACTAGTAGCTTACGGGTGTCCTACTCTTAGGGGCCATGTTTCGCTGCCGTAAATTAAAACAGAACGAACTGCCGCGCACTATACTCGTCCTTTTATTGATAGACGGATATCTCGCCTTCGCCACAGGTGACGTAAGTTGATAAAAGCCATACGAGTTTTTCGAATCTGTGCTGAGATTTCGTCAGACACCAACCCATTAGGGCTGATCAGATTTCCAAGATAAGTGAAGTTGTCAAGGTGTTCGACTACTTCACTCCCTATCTTTAGTTCAGGTGTTGACCCAGACCAGTCCTGAAGCAACAACTTGCATTTAGAGGGAGAGAAGCGCATCCCAAACATTCTGGCATTGTTGCTTAGTGCTACCAGAAGACTCTGCATTTTGTCAGCGTCTTCACCAAACAGGACTATGTCATCTGCGTATTCTAAGTCGATAAGTGGACCTCCTGGAAGGAGATCAATACCCGAGAATTCAGTCGACGAGAGTGTTATTTCCATCAATAGGTCTATGATGAAGTTAAACAAAAATGGAGAAAGTGGACAGCCTTGACGGACACCACTTGAGGTTGCAAAAGTAGATTACAGTTCGCCATAAGCCCTGACTCGACTAGTAGTGTTCAAGTAAAGAGCCTTCACAAGGTTTATGTACTCCTGAGGTACGTCTTTCAATGACAGACACTGCCACAGAGTCTCGCGGTCTACCGAGTCAAATGCTGCTTTTAAGTCAAGAAATACCACCATCGTCGGACGCTGATAGGTATGCCTGTGTTCTAGAATCTGACGAATGGTGAATATGTGGTCGATGCAGCCACGACCAGGTCTAAAGCCAGCTTGGTTTTCTCGAGTTTGTAGTTCACGAGTCTTAGTTAGGCGTTTGATAATTATCGAGGCCAGTATTTTAGATACTATGTTTGTTAAACTAATCCCTCTGTGGTTGTCACAGGATGATTTTGACCCTTTCTTATATATTGGGACGATAAGTGATTGCGACCAGTCAGATGGGATAAAGTCTAATTCCCAGATCTTAGCTAAAATATTAGTCAACTTAATCGCTAAAATTGGACCACCATCCTTAAAGATCTCTGGAGCCAATCCATCTGGACCAGCTGCCCTTCCTCGTTTCAGATTAACTATAGCCTTTTGAACTTCAGCAAGAGTCGGGGGACCTACTTCAATGTTCCATTCACACTGTCTGGGAATGGAGGGTAGTTTTAGAGTAGCTGAAGGCCAGCTGAACTTTTCCCCAGTGTTCCGCCCATCGTTCTAGACGCCTGGACTTGGAGCAGATGAGTGTATCGTCTTTTTCCGATATAATCTCACTTACACATGACTTATTAATTCCAGTTTCTTTTATTAATCTGTAAAGCTGTCTTGTGTTCCCTATAGTCGCCGCCTTTTCCATCTCTTTTGTTTTCGATAGTAGTACTTCGTGAAGCTTCCTTTAAGTCAGATTCATCAACTTCTGTTCATCTGTCTAAAAGAACTGGGCGTCTATATTATAGTTCGTCTTGCCTTCTTGCGCCCACCAGTGTTGTTTATTTATTTGAACACAAAAACACTGATGCAAAGGGACACTAAATATATGTGCACCACAATAAAGTTAAGGTTGTAACCGTGTCGAAAAAGTAAAGTATGGTATGAAAGATCATTAAGTGGGAACTAGTGTATGAACGAAATAATAACAAGCAGTAAAACCAGGCAAATATATCACAAGGTCCCTGTGAAAGCGCACGCGGAACAAGCTTTTCAAAGCGACAGATGTAGTGAGTGCGTAATAATTCATTAGTCTTGAATGTGGACCTCAGATACACAACAGACAGGTCTAATTCCCGAAGCAGTGACGCAAGGTTGAGAGATTCAGTCCCATGGTAGCCTGTGACCAACGATAGGCTCATACGCGATTTGTTCCCTTAGGAACCTCGAGCCCATATGCACCATTGGTTTAGAATTAGGGTTATCCAACTTCCCTAGGTGGATCTTCCGTATCTCCCAACCCGTATATTCGCTTTTCATCCTATCAGTCTCGTAGATAACACTGCCGCAATAAGGCACTTGGTAGGACATCCGTGGCAATGACTTTATACGAGTAGCTGTATGAGCGTTTCGTGAGAGAGAGCTGACTCTCCCCACTCTCTACCTGTACCAGGGCGTTTGGGAGTGTTTTGAACAATCTGCGAAGTAAGACCAAAGCCAATAATTTGAACGCGATCAGAAGTCGATTTATTCCTACCCGTCGACCGCGGTGGTCGGGCTGGCCTATCGTGATGATTCAGCCGAGCTATATTCACTGGAACATATGTTCCTGTATGTTCTACCATGCCAGGGTGGTCGATTAGAGAACGGTAAGTGTAAAAGCAGCAACTCAAAGTCTGAGGGCGAAGTCGTACTGCCGACTGTAGGAGGGTGACAGCAGTAAGGTGTTTCCCTCGGGCAACCAGCATCTGCAGTGATGCTACTTTCTCACAAGAAAGGACGGGGTTAGAATAGATTGATTGTAGTAGTTGAGCGTGTCGACCGCTTAAAGAAATCCATTTTGAATGACACACGTGATTCCAGTTAGTCAGTGATTTGCGGTTGTTGAAACAGGACAGAATCTTCACCGTGTGCGAGTTGTTGTATGAGTTTAGAACAAGGGAATAGACAAGTGAAGAAATGTAAAATAAAAACGATTGTTAGTTAGTGTAAGGATAATCTATTATGGTTGTAATCGTCATTTGGTTTGTACATGGGCTAGGATACTGCCCTGGCACCCAAATTGAGGCGATTGTTTTCATTAGGGGACCACACTCCGTGCTTCTATACTATAGGTGTAAAAATAAGCTAAACCTTTGGGTCCATCTGCAGGAAATTATATCAAAGTACACTTGTACATTTAGACCAACCTAGTGACTTTTGTATACTTGCTTTTCTGCTTACCTTTTTTTGTTGTAACATCGTTTTTCCTAGTTTTCAACCCACAGATGTTTATAAGCCTATTACTGTTTTTCTTATTTAGCTTCGATCTCTCATATACAAAGTTCTTGATCATGGTCGTTTCCACTACCGTTCCTTGACGGATTCAGAAGAACCTCTTTCTTTAGCGAATAAATCATCTGTTATATTCTCCGATATAGACGATGATGAATATTTACTGGAACTTGTACGTGGAGGTGATGCTATTTTAGACGACCAAATAGATGCGCAACCTAGCGGAAGGTTAGTTTTTTTGTAGCTTATTTTAGTTATCTGTCGATTTCCTGAATCTCTTTTGTTCAGTTTTGTAAATTTCCCATTTACCATATATTTAAGCCCACCAGGCGGAATATTCACGCTATTGATTTATTTGCTACTGTGCATTATTCGGTATTTTCACTATTGTGTTATCAACTACGTATTGTCTTATTTTTAGCATCGTTGTACTTCAAAAGTCTGGCGAATCATTTAATTCTCAGGCTATCCATCCCGAGGAATATCTCGGTCATATAAGAACGTCAGAACGCGAACACTCCAAACTGATGACTCAAATCCGACTTCAAGAACAGGAAATTGGTATGTCTCTATCGGTTCTATATATAGAGTTTTATCGAATAATTAGATATGTATTGATTCGTCACATACTGAATCTTAATGAACCAATCAGACAGTATTGGCCCTAACACTTATGCCTCTAATACGTCCTGTCATTCCAAGCAGATCGGTCGAAGAACGGTAATTCTAAATTCAGTAACTTAAAGTCTCAGGCCTAATTCATACTGTAGACTGTATAGATGTGCTCGATAAACGTCTTCCGCAGCACAAGTTTAAACGCTATGCTCTAGTGCAAATACCCGATTGCTTACGTCTTACTGGACGCCGTAATGAAACACATAATTGACCTCTATAAGTTCAGCTTGACGTTAAAAAGTACCCGTCAAGAACAACTAGGAAACATTGAACAATGATCCACTCTCAACCCAGGAGGCCAGAACGGTGGGCTAGACACTTTGAAGAACAGTTTAACTACTCTGCATCTGCCTTTCGGTTACACACTTTTACCAAGCAACCTAGAATGTCAGCACAAGCCATTCAACTCTTAAAGAGGTAAAAAAAGGTATACCTAATCTAAACCGAGACAAAGGAGTATTCCCTAATGTAATAACCCGGAGATCTCTAAGGGTGATGTTCTAATTATGGCCATTAGATTGACTGGGATCTTGGCTAGAGTCAGGGAAGTAGATTTAATTCCACCTGACTAGTCTCAATCATTGATCGTTCCAGTCTATAAGAAAGAACAAAGATCCTCTTGTTGTAACCGCAAAGGAATCAGATTAATTAATAGTGTCTAAAATATAAACCTCATTAATCATATGACGGTTATCTAAGGTTTATGAGGAGTAAACTCGAGGAAAGCAAGATGGTTTCAGACTTAGACGTGGTTGTGTAAACCAAACATTCGCTCTTCGCCAGACTCTGGAACACAAATATACCAACTAACTCTCAAGCATGGTTGTATCTCCTGACCTTAAGGCGGCCACGTTCAACTCTGTAGATCGGCGAGTTTTTGAGTGTCTTTTATTGGAAGGCGTACCAAGAAAGTACATAGACCTTGTGAAGGCTTTCTATTCAAACACAGTTGATCGAGTCAGAGTCCACTATCTCCATTTTATTTGATTTTATCATTGATATCTTTCTGGAAATAATATTTTCTCCAATTGACTTTCCGGGGGTCGATCTCCTGCCAGGATGTTTGGCTAATGACTTGAAATACGCAAATGGCATAGTTCTGTTTGATGAAGAAGCTGACAAAATCCAGTTTTATGATTGACTTGGGAAACAACGTTAGCATGTAAGAGATGCGTTTCCCATACTAAACCTAATGTTGTTATGACTCATCATCGTTTGTGGACGCGCAGACACATGTATTCTTCTTGTTTTTGTCTTACCTCGTGTTCCTTCATATTTAACTTCGTCTAGCGCTTCTGATATATGTAATGCCATCATCATTCTGATATTTATCCTTACATGTTTATTCTCATTGTGTTCATATAACGTGGCAAATAGAATCAATGCATACATGTCGTGCTCTTTGTTACATTTAAATGACTGACAAAATATCACGTGGTCGTTTTATCTGTGTTTTACATTTTTTGCAGCCCGTCTACGTGAATCTGTTGCGGACTTCTCGGAACTGAAAGATAAGTTGTCGAGAACTTCTTCAAGTATGGAGGACTATCGAAGACGATATAGGGATGAACGGGACAAAGTTGACTCTCTAGCTCGTGTTTTGGAACAACAGGCATCTGTTCTTGATGCCTGTCGATCGGCACTTCGACAAGCATCCAGTCGTTTTTATATTCGTCACTCGGTTAATGAGTCATCTAAACAACTCAAGCGTTCATTGTCACCTTGTTCAGTATCTAGTAACAAGGAATCTGTCAAGTCTACAAAGAAACTTAATACTTCAGATTCATTTAAAAACGATCTGTCATTATCTGATTCGCTGAACGTAAGATTTTTTCTTTTTAGACTTCTTCACATTTTTGCAAATTTATTCAATTAATTTATTTCACTACAGGAAGGAAATGTTCCTAAAGTTGCGGAAATTGATTCTGCTACAGTCAAGAATGTGTGTGAACAAACTACTATGGTTTCAAACGTCAGTTCCGATGTTTCAGAATATGTAAGTGTGTAAATAAAAGCTACATTGGTCCTCTTCTTAACCGTCTTAATCCCATTACTACTGTTTCATCTTTGTATCGATCATCGGCTTATGATTCTAAATATATTTTACCATGTTGCACTGGTCATAGTGTTACCTACAGTCGTCGTGTTTTATGAAAGTACCTGAAACTTGAATTTTAATGTGCATAAGAGTCGGTGTTTTCTATAAGTATGCAGCGCTACTGATATTCTCAGTAGGTTGTTCTTTCTCGTTACTTAGCCCTTATAAACTATTTATCGTAACCAATCTACATAATTTATTTTCGATTTCTATCATCCGAGTTTTTGAACTTTAGTAACTTTCAGTGACCGAATAAAATAATTATCAAATGTTATATTTGTAAGATCAACATTCTCAGGCTATATACACTGTCTTAGCGGAAAAAAGCAAGTCTTTCAAATTTCCTGAGTGTGAACGTCACCTGTATGACCACTATTCGTCAAAATATGTATGACGCACGGCTGTTCGAATTAAGGTCTTGGTGATTTTTGGTTTCGTTTTAATAAAAGCTGACTTTATCGATGCAAGTAGCTCAGTAATTTAGAAATAACAGTCAGTCAAACATCTTAATCTTGAATTGCACATGGCTTCTAAAGAATTTCTCACTTATTTATTTTTACTGTGTAGATCTGTCTGATCGGTTCGTGCAGTCTTACCATTTTGTTCGCTTTCTATAACGAACTGGTTTTCGGTGCTTTTTTTTTAATCTAGTAATTTCCATATAATTTTATTATAGATTATGAATGGATTAAAAACAGAAGAAGTTTTGGTTCCATGCAACGCCAACGAGAATGCTTCAACAGCTGTTGATCAAAAATGTTCCATTGTCCCTACAGGAATAGAACCCCAAATTACTTTAAGTATGTTATCTGTCGTCTTTCATTTTAATTATCTGAAATTCGTTCTCATTGCATACTAATAAACTCTAATTTTAGGTTCAAGTGAATGAAACTGAATACGCCGCTTGTGAATCCGTTTGGTGATTATTAGCTATCCGTGCTACTGTTCATTAAAAATAAACACACGAAAGCTTGGTTTTTATTTTCAAAACTAATTAAAATATACATTTGTCTTGTTTTGCTGGTTTGTTTTAATCCCGGACACATAAATCCCTAGTGTTGTTATCGAGCATAGAAAAAGAGATACTAGTCAATATTCGAATTAATACGGAAGAAAAAACTATAAATATAATCACTGAACTTGTAAATAAGAAACATTCTATCTCACTACAATAAACGAGTCTTTGCGCCTGCTGATTGATTGATACCAGGTACCGCAAATTGGAAACACAACTAATGTCAGACTCATATAAAATAAACGATACTCGACTTAATTACATGAAACGTACCTGAGATTATTATTATTTCGATATTAGATTACACTAAACGACTAACAATAAATAAGTGAACGCACAGATATACAGTGACAATTGTCGTGATACGAAGAAATTCCTGTGCTAACGTTAGTTTAAGATAAGTTCAATTTGCAACCGTTACTCTGTAGCGCAAATAAGCTTTACAACATATATTTAGCCGACTCCAATTAGAAATTGTAATGCTCATTAGGAGTTTGATTTTACAGCTGTTCTCAAGTCAAGTTTGATTCGATTGCTAACTTGTCATTCGAACTCACTAACAGCTGTGGAATCACTGGTAACAATATTCGTCAATAAATTCTTCGAACTAGCGACAAATGATGTGGATCCGAATCATAATGATGCCTGTTACCTTTCCTATTGCACCACTAATACTTTACCATGTTTAGTCCATTACACTGTATTTATTGAAAATTCCAAACTACTAGATGTGGACACAATCGAGTCTTATATCAATGTCAGCACTTCTACATGCGTGATATATCTTCCCACTACACAGTAGGACAACTCACTTATCAACTGTTGGAGACTTCATTCGCTCATCCCACTGAATTCGCATACAGCTAACATCGGCTAGACACACTTCATTTAGCATTCCGGTTAAATCTGTGATGTTGCCAATCAAGTCGTTAGGAAACAAATCAATGTCACATTGACCATGAAATACACAAGGTTAGGAGACAACATGCTAGGGCAGCGTACAGGCCAAATGGATTCTAACTGTCGGTCAGTTAGCTGCAATGTATGACCAGGCACGTGTATGCATTGGTCTAGGTTGTCATACCTCATTAGCACAACATGTAGAACATCAAATTCATAGAGGTAGTTTCTTCAATGGTAGTAATATATAAAAGACTGGTTGTGCACAGGAAGAAATAAACTAGTTGTAATATCAAGGCTAAAGAGAAGACAAGTAGTCTGCATATATCAACAGGGCTCAGACTGGAAGTTGATGACTTCAATGACTGATGCCAAGTCTTTGTTTGGCCGCCTCTAACTTTCCCTCAGCCGTCTCCAACACTACTCCGCATTGGACGTCGCGACAAACCAGTCTACATAAGCCGATAACAGAAGTGTCAAGAAAATCACAGTGAGACGCACACCAACGTAGAGCTCAATTAAAATGTTAGACAACGCACATACGTTTCCGAAAGACTTCGCAGTTTTGCGGCTGTAATCCATATTAGCGAAATGAATGACGAGACACCTGATCAACAAACGATAAAAATCACTCGGTTACCTGAGCTGGTATAGAGGAACGAGTGCTGACGCACCCGTATTCTCCCAGCCACTGTTGTAACAATACCCTCACAGAAGCACATACGCAAAGCTACCCCATTTCCAAATCGTACACACGTGTGTTAGTGGACAACATAACGATAAAGTAAGGTGTAACCCCAGAACATCGCTTAGCTGCACCTAGGCTGGGGCTGAGAATGTTCATTACAAACTTCCATCGAAACACCACATTTTATGTCCATCAGCATATTCAAGTGACCTACAATGTTTACTGGATGAAAAACTAATTACTAAGGTGAGCAACTGGGATCGGACTAGAGAGAAACAACTTCATTTTGATAGGTACCGGGCAATAACAAACGCCTAGGACTTCATGTTGTGGCTCGGTAGTTTTTATTTGATCTGCACTTCGTTATATGTACTGCATAGTCATGAAAAATGAACTGCAACAAATGAATCCCAGGCTGCATACAGCAAACACATTAACTGAGCAGCTGGGGGCTTGTACGCACAAGGATATTATCCTCACCTATCGTAAACTAGCCGAGGACTTCGCTGACAAACTAGGAACACCACGAAGAGTAAATAAGCATGGTTACACGCGGCTGGTATACCAGTCCCTGTTCTTAGCAGCAATCCCGAAAGACACACGGTCCCTCTGACCCTGTCTATTAAGAGATTTGAGGCCGTAACACCTCCAAACCCTTAAGATTCATCACTCCACTATCACGCACTAGAATCGCTCGTCAATTCAGAAGAGGCACAGAGAACAACAGTCGTGGTCCGCGGAATCATGTTCTAAAAGAAAACTGGCATGTCAGGAACCACATGACTTCAGCGAAAGTAAGGACGACCAGTGATGACACAGGAATAGTCTGCGCGGATTTGGTGCATCGATCCTAGTTGGCTAGAAATCTACGCACCAACGGTGAAGGACAGCGAGCATTGTTCATCATGTGTTAATGTGAAGACTGATTACTTCACCATGTAGTAAAACGTTACACGATTCATTAACTAGGGGCAGAATCACACGTGGCTGACAGCATTGTGAAACAATGCAAATGCATGTTCCCAGCACACTATCATTCTCTGAATAACTAACCTTGAGGATCAGACTAACCACGGGCCTAACTGACTGCTTTCCAAACTTAACTACTAAGAACAAAATCATGCAATTTCGATATTTATTCCGTTGAAGCTAATAATCACTCTTCATCACTTCCGTTCTCGTCGTCACCACCTTGGGCTTTACGCTCCTTTTTCCTTTTGACACGACCTGAAGAATTAGGAAAATACTGTAGGTTAGCTTACCAGGGCGACCACAACCATATGGAGATGTTGTACTGTATTCTATGTGTTTTCCTGAGTCCAAACGTACCAGAAACCCAGGACAGTTAACCATCTGTTTTCTTACCCTTATGTGCCGTTGGCGGATGAGGACTCTGGCATGATGGATGCTTCTGGCCAAACCAAGTTTAAAAACTTGAGTTTGAAGTCTTCGTTCTAAAAAGTCTTCTATCTTCAAGCCCAAAACGAAATCCAGTTTCATCTTATCTTCGGGAAGTACTCCAACTCGAACTAAGCGTCTCAGCAGAGCGGACCCTTAAAATGAAGGACAAAGTAAAACTGGTACCTCCAAAAAGCCGTCTGGGGTCTTTATCATCCAGTGTCAGCAACTCGCGGGCTGACTTACGTATCTTGGCTAAGACATATTTTACTCTCCATACTTCGCGTTTGTTGCGCAGACCATATTCACCAATGAGCTTTAACTCTTGGTCTAAACGCTCCTTTTCAAACGGTCTCCGCGGAGTCGCATAGGTCTTGCCAAAAACTTTAGGTACCCTGCTCATTTCTCACAACACCAACGTGAAGGGATCTAAATCGAGAGCCCCTAAGTTCCTTGTAGACCAAGTGAAACAAATTTCAATATACAATGTCTGTAGCAACATCATAGGGGCTGAATATGATTAACAGTGAACAGTCTTATTCGGTCATAAATGTACTGAGTCATCCTTATTTTCTATCGCACTAAGTGTTTAATTACGATCAGAAGGCCACTTAACACTTGGAGGATTAAGTCCTGATCAGTTTCAGTCTGGAAAGGACAGGAGGCTGGGTGGCCTGTGTGAGTCTAAGCAATGGTGGCATCTTGATTGATTCATCTTCCTTCGAGTGTATGGACAGATGAAGCTTCACTCACGTGTCAAGGTAACGAGTTCCACTCGTTGGTGATTCGATGGGAAAGTCGATAGTCAGCTAACGAGTGATTTGTTCCGGACTTGTGAACTTTTTTAGAGAGTCCTCGTAAATGCTCTGTTTTGGAAAACAAAACATTATGACATATCAGATGTGAATTTAGCAGAAATTAACTTAAAATCTATGATGAAGTCACCTCTTGTCCTTCTGCATGACAATGGCTACAGGTTTCATTTAGACAGGCTCTCTTCATACGAGAGATTAGAGATCTCGGAAATCAACACACTTGCGATTGTTTAAACCTTTTTCAACAGCTCACTGTTGTTTTTAGGCGAGGGCTAGCTGTTTGTACACAATATTCGAGTTTAGTACGAATGAAATCTGTATAAAAAGTAAATAGGATTTCATCATCGGTATAGCTGAATACGTACTGACCATATAGTTCTAAAACCCTTAGCGGCCATCGCACTACAGTGTGAAGTAGTTTTCAAATCTTGGCTGACGATGACTCTCATGTTATTATATGTCTGGACGGCAGGTAGCTGAATGTTATTCACCGTGTATGTATCTGTACATTGGTAATCAATATGCACCATAATGCACTTGGAAGCATTTATCTGCAGCTGCCGAGTTCTAGACCATTTGAAATTTTCCCGAGGTCCCTTTTAAACTCTAAGCTATCGCTTTTGCTTTTCATCGCTCTCCGTATCTTGACGTCGTCAGTATGTAGCAAGATCGATGATGATAGGAGGCGAGGAAGACCCTTTGCACACGGGGAGAACAACAATAGCCCCAAAACTGTACGCTGAGCACAGTTTCTCAGCTAGACGACTTGCAGTCAATCAGTGCTTTATTTTGACGCCCAACTTGGATTTCCTTTATTCACATAAATAGTTTACCACCAATCCAGATATCACTTAATTTAGATAACAAGCGGTTGTGTGGGACTTTGTCAAAAGCCTTACTGAAGTCGATGAAGGCTGAGTTTGTAGGTAACATGTAAACTTCAAAGGGGCCCCAAGATTTATGGGCCACCAACAAGTTCGTAGGAAATGAGTAACCTGTTTTAAAACCGTACTGCTTTGCAGAAAGAATCCGGTGTCGGTCTGGATACTGTGGTGGTGAATAGATCCCCAGAATCAATAGCTCTGTAAGTCTTCGACATTCGTGCCGACCTCATCAGCCTCACTGTACACGCCCTAGATGAAGGCGCTCGGTCACACATCTACAACTCATAATGAGTGGGTACTCCGTTCTACGCATCCTTTGCAACTGTTAGCCAGCTTAGAAACAACGCTTCCCGTCATATCGATAGCCTTTCAAATATATTCTCAAACCACTTCATTTCTTACTTCCGATTTGACTGGGTTGGT